TTCCAACAAGCAAATACAAAGTGGACTGTGCTTGCCTCAAAGAAAACCCTGAATGCCCGGTGTTGAAGCGTCCCTCCGAGCCTACCGAAGCTATAAATACAGGTTATGAAACCAGAAGGAAAAAGGGGAAAAAGGAGAAGGAAACCCAAAACCAGAACATCACACTGGATTGTGAAGGCGCAACGGGCAAAACCAAGTTTCCAGAAAACCGACAGAGGAAACTTTCTCCCCTTCGATTGTCGATCTCAAATAATCAGGTATTTTTGTTGTTGTTGTCGTCGTCGTCCTGTGGTTAGTCTTCTCACATAGAAAAACTTCAGCAAAAGCAGGATAGTTTTTTTAAAAAAAAATTCTTGTGTACCATATTTACAGTATATGGTATCTCAGAAAAATGGGAATTGGCAGGCCCACAGTGTGCGGTTAAGGAGTGTGGTGTTTTTTTGGCTTGGATCCTGAGCCTACAAAGAAAGTACGTTCTGATGCCTTTTCTAAAATAAAAGGGACTAATTTAAATCATCCCTGATTTCTTCAACCTTAATCAACCGCTCTTGTTGAGTTCCATCATTATACAGCAGGAGCTCATTTTGAATACTTTTGCAGATCACTGGTGTCAGGATACCTATCATGCTGTGCCTTGATTGATCAGGATCATCCTCTAGGGGGGTTAACCTTCAAGACGAGAAATTACAGATATGCAGAGATTAGTTTAATGCAAGGGAGCTTTCTAGATTTACCCACATAGTCCAGAATCTGCCTTAATATTTTAAATAATAAGACATGTACACAATCCACCACCCCAATTGGTAATGAAGTTTGGGAATTGAACCAGAATCCAGGACTTGAGAATAGTTTTGTGAAGGGTATTTATCTAGGAGGTCTAATCATTTATAAACAGATTCTAATTACGATTTGTAGTTCTGAAAAGATGACTTTTGTGTTAAAATGTTGCAACTAGAATCATCAGCCATGCTATTTGGCATTTTTTAAAAACGATATTCTTCCTTGCTGATTAGGAAAAACAGGAGAGAACTTGTGTCAGCGTGCCTGATATACTGTAGTTAACAATACACACGCGCGCACACACACAACTCTCGCAGGAAATAAAAGCAGTGCTGCTTTGAGCAAAACAAAAACTATAAGTCAGAATTCTGAAGGAACTGGATATGCTGGGAATTAGCTCCTGCCTGTGCGCACAGTCTTACTGGTGGATAAAGCGAACCAGGAATAAAAAGCAGAGTGGCCTGTCTCCCTTGTTTGAGACTGGCATTCCTGGTTTGTTAAGTGCAGCAAGCCCAAGAACCCTAGTACGAGTAACTTGCAAAACTTTGAGATAGTTAAACAACTGCTAGTGATGGGAGCCTAGGGCATCTCGGTTTATTCCTGAGAAGTCAGCCGTGACTGCTCTTTGGAGGAGCCAGATTTGATGGAACAGGCCCAGGCCCTTTTCATGGCCAGATAGAATTCTAGTTCTAGCTTACATATGAGCTTGGCCAATGTCACGCGGAAAGAAAATGTCAGCGTGAAGCAAGCTATGCATTACTTACTTTGCACTAGTTGTCTTTGAGGGTGCCCATCTGCATCTTCAAGGCTGTTGTTTGCCTTTCTGCCAACTGTACATAGTACATGGAACGGGCTAACTCACTGCGGGACAATTCAACAATTCCATTTCATTATTCATTAAAATAATTTTTAAAAAATACTTTATTTTTTTTCCATTCGCTTTCCATTTTGTCCCTCCTTTGGCATTCTTATTCCACTGTTTTTTTGATATGAGTGTAACTCTTGCCCACGGCAAGTTGGCAGCAGCGAATTCTTGTAGACCACATGGTACGGCATGTGATTCCTACAAACACTGATCTATAGCAACAGTGTATTCAGCTTACTCATCCAGGAAAGACATATCCACATATTGGGGAAAAAAAATGGTCCTTTTCTCTTTTTCCACCCCCATGATGGGATATAGCACTTGTTAAATGTCTCTCAGACATCCTCATAGTGTTTTGTGATTTAAAAAAAAAACCTTAATTCCTTTGAATTCATGGCTTAAACAAATGGGTGGGTATGTGTGCGCGTGCACATGCATCACTGCTGTGTATCACCCACTAAAAACCAGAACAGTGAACTTAAAATATTAAGCCAGCTACTCCTAATTGGAAGGCAGGCAACTGGCTGTGGAGGTTTGTGGGGTTTTTTTTAAAAAGAAAATATAGGAAAGCACTTGGGATTCCTGCAAGTAAGCCCACAGGATCTCAGCAATCCATTTTTTTTTTATGTAAATGGCACTAAACAAAATAAAAATGAACATGTAAAGGTAAAAAAGTTTGCCCTCCCAGTTTTGGTAGGAATTGTATTGCAGATAAAGTACACAGGATGAGAGTGAAAATAGGCTGACTGGTGTACTGTGCTTGGTTTTTGTTTTATTTTGGCAACTATAAATTTTTAACTTCAGTTGCTAGTAAACCGATGGATGATACATAATGTGAATCTGTCATTATGGGTTCCTTTATATCCAATATGTATACTCTTAAAAAATTTGATAGATATATAAATTAGCTCTGAGGTTTTTCAGGGTAGGAGAAACGATATGAACTATTATAATACGTTTAATACAATTAAAATAGCTATAAATACGATGCCCTATTAAATGCAGTTTGTGAGAAATTCCTCACTAGATAATTTTGTCCACATAACTAATGCTAAAGCCTTGTAAATGTTTAGTGGGGTGGGGAAAATGTATAGGATTGCACTGTTAGTAAAACAACTGGAAGCGTATGAAGTTAGGTAACTAATAACAAAATTTTGATGCACATTACCAGCTTTCAAACTGTCAATTAATCTAAACAAAACGAAATATTTTACACGCTCGAGTTAACCACTTGCTAAAATAATATTGAAATGCTAATGTTTTTAAAAGTCAGTCTTCGCTGTTTAGTATGCAAAGATATCAAAGATGCTTTTGGACCTTCAAAAGCTCTCTTTGATCTAGGTCAGGGGTAGGCAACCTCGGCTCTTTTATGACTCGTGGACTTCAACTCCCAGAATTCCTGCGTCAGCATCGCTGACTCAGGAATTCTGGGAGTTGAAGTCCACGAGTCATAAAAGAGCCGAGGTTGCCTACCCCTGACCTAAGTTATTAATTGAGTAGGCTATTAAATGAGTTGCAGGTTCTTGCATGTTCGATCCTGTCGTGCATTTGCTGTGACATGAGATTTTTTTTACAGTGCAATCCTATTCCTGTCTACTCAGAAGCAAGTCCTAATGATTTCAGTGGGACTTACTCCCAGGTAAGTGTGTATAGGATTGCAGCACTAGTATTGTAGAGTTCCCTAAGTTATACCAGCAGCAGCGGCAGCAGCAGCAGTAGTAGTAGTAGTAGAGCTTCTGTAAAAGCAGTCATTTCCATCTTTCAGGAGCCAGATTTTATTGATGATATAGAAGAAAAAACTCCTATTAGCAGTGAAGTAGAAATGGAATCAGAGGAGCAGATTGCAGAAAGGAAGAGGAAGATGGTAAGTTGGGAAGCTAGTAGCCACTTAAAGCTGTCACTAAAGATGAGTGACAGCTGCTCTTCCCATGCTAATCATTGCTGCCTCTCCTGGGTACTTAGCCTTTGAGAATATTTGAAATCTGCTCCTTGATATGTGCTAATTCTATTTAAATCTTTGTGTGTGTGTGTGTTTCTGTTTTTTTGGGTTCTGTGATTTTTGAAAAAGTTGTGTATATTTTCTCAAGGATGTGTTTTTCTGAATGATTTCCTGTATCCGATGCCCTGTCCACCTCTGAAAATACCTTCTATATTTTGATTTTTTAATTATTATTTTAACCTGTTTTGGCTGGCCACGGTCAGAAAGAGCCCCATTTTCAAAACTAGTTATGAATATATTTCTCACAATAATAGAAAACAAACGTCGCTATAAAGTCAGGAGTCCTTGAACAGGAGATACCAGATACTTGTCTTTTAATATGTTTAAACATGCCGAATATTATTTAGTGAAATACAGAATACTCTTTGAAGATAGCCCGAACAACTTCGATTTTATTAACAAAAGGAAGAACTGCGAAAACAAGAAAAAGACTACTTCAATAGCGACGGAGCAAAATTGAAGCAGTTTAAGCGTCTCCATTTCAAGATTAAAATGGACTTAAAACCATTTATTCCAAGCGATAGCTACTTGATGGCATATTAATCCATTTTGTACTGATCTATATACTTAAAAGTAGGAGGTATTTTTTAAAAAACTATTTTCATCTTCGTTCTTGGCCTCTTGAGTCTATTACAGAGCCTGGTGTGTGTATACCTCCTATTTTTCTAGGTTTGCATTCTCTTCTCACAAAATTAATAAATCCTTAATAGTTACAACAGGTGTTTCCCCCCCCCCCTAAGCTACTCTACACAATGCTTACGTGCTTTTCTGCTTAAAGATATTCCTCCTAGTTTAAACACTGAGGCGTTATCAGCCAAACCCTTTCAGCTTATCTTTTCAGGAAATAATGTTATCTATCATAATGATCTTAGACTCATGACTGCTGCCCTTCCTTTGAGTTGCTGCCCAATTTTAGTATTTGCTTTGGGATACTAGCAATCATTCTTGCTTTCTCTTTTTGTTCAACAGCTAAAGCCTTTGCTCTTGTTTTAACTGTTTTCCTTCCCTTTCTATTTAAAATCTGAACAGAGTCAATATTTCGGTACCGCAATGGAGCCTCATTGCCCTCAGCTTTTCTACGTGCACTAAATTACAATAATAATAATAATAATAATAATAATAATAATAATAATAATAATAATAATAATAATAATAATAATAATAATAATAATAATAATAAAGTTGGAAGGGAGCTTGGAGATCATCTAGTCCAACTCCCTGCTCAGGCAGGAAACCCTATACCATTTCAGACAAATGGCTGTCCAGTCTCTTCTTAAAAACTTCCAGTGTTGGAGCATTCACCGCTTCTGGAGGCAGGTTGTTCCACTGATTAATTGTTCTAACTGTCAGGAAGTTTCTCCTTAGTTCTAGGTTGCTTCTCTCCTTGATGAGTTCCCATCCGTTGCTTCTTGTCCTGCCTTCAGGTGCTTTGGAGAATAGCTTGACTCCCTCTTCTTTGGGGCAGCCCCTGAGATACTGGAACACTGCTATCATGTCCCCCCTTGTTCTTCTCGTAGTAAATTAAGCTCCTGGGCAGAAGAAGCTGCCCCCACCACTGTTCTCAGTGGCATGAGGGCTATAAGGCACTGACAGGAGGGCAATGGCAAGAAAAGAGATATTTTAAGATCTTCAGCTTTTGAGTGTTTGATTTCACTCATGATCATTGTTTATAGAAACTTAGGACTTTGCAGGGCATAGCCAATGCACTCTCTCTCCATATTCTTACAAGGTAAATGTAGAGATGACAAAATAAGAGGACATTTCTTCAGCAGAGTTGAGAAAACCACTAAATTTAAATTAAATTAAAGCATCACATCAAGTTTGAACTTTGGCTTTTTTTTTCCCCCATGCCCCCTGAGTTGGAGCCATTAAATAAAAGGTGCCACCTTGCCCCTTTTTACAAAGCATACATTAGCTTCTGCCTACGCTGCTCATACTTCATTATAAAGTAGTATTTATTATAATTCTACTAATTACTTAACGCTCTTTCTCAGCTTGCTTATTTGCAAGGAAAGTTCTTACGGTCAGAGAAAGCCACCCACCCACTGAATGTTTTCACGTAAATCTAGTAACTCCCCTCCCCCCCCACCCCGTTTCTCAAAAAATCTGCAATTTTCTAGAGCAGGTTTTGTAAGCTGGAAAAAGTGATGGACAATAAACTAATTTAAAAAGAAGGAAGATAAAGAAACTGACACTTCTGACAGCCGTAACTTGAAAGACTTTGTCCTGTCTGAAAGATCGACTTATTTACCTTAACAATCTCAGAATTTCTTGTGGGCTGATGGGTAAGAGCAGAGCTATCAAAGGAGGGCAGACACAAAGAGTAAAAACAGTAGCGGTTTCTGGGCATGTGTATCTACAGTTGCTGGGGGAATTCAGAAGTGATGTCATAATCCTGTCAGCCAATAGGAAGATTTTTCCAGTCTCTCCAAGGCTTCAGTTTTCAGCCAATTTTTAAAGTATTTTAATTTTAATAAAAAGAATAGCCGAGCAATTTCTAGTGTTGCGAAATACAAGGGAAATCCATATTAACGGTAGAAGCCGAGTGCGTGTGGCCGTTTGGGTAATATTGGCACTTGGATCAAATTAATATCTAAGACCGCATTCCAGTATGTATGAAACAAGTACACCTGCTAGAATCTTCGGGAAGCGTTTTCAGATCTGTATATTCTCTGGCAACAGTCGTGGAAAATTTTATCTTACAGGTATTGGCCCAGAGTTGTCAAAATGGAAGCTAGAAGACGACTTAAGTTATAGCTATCTACAGTGTTGATGTATAGAAAACTTTGAACATCCTGTTGCCACCAACAGTGATCTGAATCCTTCTTACTATTATTTCTAGAGAATTATATTTATTGTGTGTAAGAAACAGATATGTCAGAAGACTGAAGGGGCCAGTAGTTGCCCAAATAAGGGCAGGAAGTGTTACCTTCCATAGAATCCTCTCTTCCTGGACCGTTGGTTGGGCTGCTGTCATGAACCCTTGACTGTGCCATACACGAAGTCAAAAGTTTTAAGGTAGCCATTGAAGGCTGGGCTCACTCTGGAACTACAGTGGAGATGTACTTAACTATTCTGGTCATAACTCCAGCTGTTCCAGTTGTCTGGATTATTAGCAACTGAGGGGATTGTGTGTGGTGGATACTTGCTGGCAATAAAGAAAAATAAGGTACAGTTCTGACTGGTTGCCAGGATTAAGAGAAATGAGCATTAAGCTACAGGTAGTGTTCAATTTATGACCACAATGGAGTGCAAAATTTCTGTGGCTAATTGTGAAGTGAGTTTTGCTTCATCTTGTGGCTTTTCTTGCCACAGTTATTAAGTGAATCCCTGCGGTTAAGTTAGTCACACAGTTGGTTAAGTGAATTGACTGTGCTTGTCAGAAAGTCACAAAAGGAGATCACAATGTCCCAGGACACCGCAACGGTCATAAATAGGAAGCAGTTGCCAGGCGTCCGAATTTTGATTCTGTGACCACAGTGATGCTGCAATGGTCGCAAGTCACTTTTTTCAGTGTTGTTGTAACTTTGAATGGTCACTAAGAGAACTGTTGTAAGTTGAGGACTACATGTAATTTCTGTCTGAGATTGATAGGGCTTTAATTTCCATGGAAAGGAGGAAATGGGCGGTTGGAAACTTGAAGACCTGGAGGCACAGGCCTGCTCTCATCAGTATAAAACCTCACAATTATCTTGTTAAAATTTCACTCATCACTCAACAATTTCTGTGTGTGATCCCTGGCTACAATGGAAATGTTGTTGTCAGTCTCCTAGAGGCAGGCCATCATCATGCCTCTTTAGTTAAAAAAAAAATCTCGGTGACTCAGCACTAGTTTATTTAAAGTTTTCTTCTTGTCCTATCTCTGAAACAAAAACTATATGAAATAAATGAAGAATCAGAATAAGATTCATAAATGCAGGGGTTTGGTGAGTTAATTTGCGTGTATGTGAACATCTGTAATAAACACCACCACCACAAGTAATCACATAATTTTTACCTTAATGTAATGATTTGTCTGATCTGATGATCCTTAAGAGAGTATGCCTCAAATAAAGGACAGAATGTTTTTTTTTATGTTCTAAGTAAGAAGTTTAAATCCTAGTCATTGTAAAAGCACTATAGAAAGTTGTTCAGACATTGATAGATGCATAATCTGACCTAGCTTCTGATAGAGAAGATTAAGATGGGAGATAACATATTCATAGATTATAATATTTTACATAATGTATTTGTGAAAATACCAGTGCATTTAAAAATAATATATGGATTTATTCATGTAGAAAAAACGTTTCTTATTAAAATTACTTAGATTTAAATTACTTTAAATTGTTCATTTAATTCTAATCCATACTGGGTCCCCATCACCTGAAACTTTCAATAAATTATTAGCAAATACCGCCTACGTGTGCACCTGTGCACCAGGGTCAAAATATAAATGCCATACCACTACTGTGGAATAAAATGTCGATTCTGTAAAATCGATTATCTGAGTGTGACCTGTAAAGAATACTTTAAATAACTTTTTTTTGGGGGGGGGGTATTTTTAAGTCCTTTAATGTATGAGCTTGTTTAAGCCTTGGTGTTATTCAATTCTTCAGACCAGAGAAGAACGGAAGATGGAAGCCATCCTTCAAGCTTTTGCCAGATTAGAAAAAAGAGAAAAAAGAAGAGAACAAGCTTTGGAAAGAATCAGTACAGCTAAAACGGAAATAAAATCAGAATGCAGGGATACCCAGATCATCAACGAGGCGGAATTTGTTCAGGTAGTTCCCTACGTTTTATTAAGTGATTCATCTTACCTGTTTTGATGCTTTTCGCCTAGCGTTCCTTCTCCCTTGCTCTGTTCCCATCCAATACTTCTTGGGACAATACATTTGGCTGTCGCTGCTCTTTCTAAGCAACGGTGTAGTGATGTGGGCTGGGCTAAGACAGAGTGAGCAGCCCAAGTCACACAGGAGTCTCTGTGACTTCAGTGAAGGCCTGAGCCTCTGTCATCTGCTCATCAAACTGGTGGTTTCATCCTAGTTCACCCACTTTTGTATTGCTTAATGTCTGCGTAAGAAAATGAATTTGGAGATTTGGAATTGTACGTGAATCCAGTCCTAGCGCCCATCATAATCAGTGCAAAAAGTACTTAAATAAAAGAAAGATGAAGTAGAACTTGGCCCTTTTTCTTAACCAAATACCCAGATAGATAGATAGATAGATAGATAGATAGATAGATAGATAGAGATAGAGATAGAGATAGAGATAGATAGATAGATAGATAGATAGATAGATAGATAGATAGATAGATAGATAGATAGATATAGATAGATAGATAAGTAGATAGATAGATAGATAGATAGATAGATAGATAGATAGATAGATAGATAGATAGATAGATAGATAGATAGATAGATAGATAGATAGATAGATATAGATAGATAGATAGATATAGAGATAGATAATAGATAGATAGATAGATAGATAGATAGATAGATAGAGATAGATTATATATCTATAAATAGAGATAGATAGAGCTAGAGATATATAGAGATAGATAGATAGACAGACAGATAGATAGATATAGATATATAGATACACACACACACACACACACACACACACACACACACACACACACACACACACATATACATATATATTACTGTCAAGGCACAGAAAGGCTCAAATGATCCTAAATAAGATGTATGAGCAGTACTGCTAAACATGTATTTTTATCCTTTATGTATTTTTCCCCCATTTTGGTGGGAAAACAAAATTTATCGAAGGGTGTGTGTGTAAATGATGTAATTTTGGATTGTGTGCAATGTCCAGGAACCAGCGAAAGAGGAAACCCCCACCAAGCCAGCCCCTGCCAAAGTCAACAGGACAAAACAGAGAAAAAGCTTTTCCCGGAACAGGACGCACATCGGGCAGCAGCGGCGAAGGCACAGGACCGTCAGCATGTGCTCGGATATCCAGCCATCCTCTCCTGACGTGGAAGTCATCACCCCGCACCAGGAACCCGAGACCGCCGTGCTTCCGGCCGAGCCTGAAGCAGAGACACCCGTGGCTGAAGTAGTCCCTGAGCCCGAAGCCCCAGCACTTACTAAATGCCCCACTAAATACCCCAAAACAAAAAAGGTACGTGGGGAACCTCATACCTGCCCCGTTTGAGAAGGGGGGAAAAAAGTAGCTAATACAGGCAATCCTCGACTTACAGCTACAAACTGAATTCAAAATTTCTGTTTCTAAGCGAGACAGTGAGTTTCGCCCTATGTCGCGACCTTTCTCGCCACAGTTGTGAAGTGAATCGCTGCGGTTGTTAAGTTAGTAACCCCAGTTGTTGTGAATCTGGCTTCCCCATCGACTTTGCTTGGCAGAAGATGGCGAAAGACGATCGCGTGACCCCGGGACACACTGCAACCGTCATAAATACTAGTCAGTTGCCAAGCGTCTTGAGTTTTGATCACGTGACCCTGGGGACGCAACAATAGTGTGAAAAACATACACTTTTTTCGGTGCCACTGTAGCTTCAAACGGCCACTAAACAAAGCGTTGTAGTCGAGGGCTACCTGTGTGTCTTTTCTCTCCCTTTTTTTTTATTTAACGTACACTAGAAGACCTTGCCGGCGGAGTTAGGACTCCGCTGATTTTTCCCCCTTTCTGTTCCAGCACTTGGTGAGCGAGTGGTTAAGCGAGAAGAGCGAGAAGCCGGGAAAGCCCGTGGAAAACCTCTCAGAGAGGCCTCTGCGCATAACCACCGACCCAGAGGTCTTGGCGACCCAGCTGAACTCTTTGCCAGGCCTCACTTTCAGCCCGCATGTCTACACGACGCCGAAGCACTATATCCGTTTTACGTCGCCCTTCCTTTCTGAAAAACGGCGGAGGAAAGAGCCGATGGAACGCATTCTGGGCTCCTGCAAGAAGGTAACATATCTGGTAACTTTGAATACATACATATTAGCAAGAAGACGACTATTGAGCGATAGATTAACGTATTGTTTATGATAATTAACTACTATCTATTATTTCTTGTTAAACACATGAACCCAGACATTAGGCTGTTTGCTAAATATTGAGAATGTTATTGGGGAAAACCTAAATCCCAACCCGAATCCAAATCCCAACCCCGATCCCACCTCATTCCTAACCCTAGAAAAACTAATAAAATTTATACAAAAAAAAGAGAAGGTAACATATCTGGTAACTTTGAATACATATATATAGTAAGAAGAAGACTATCGAGCGATTAATTAACATATTTATGATAATTAACTACTATCTATTATTTCTTGTTAAACACAAGAACTCAGACATTAGGCTGTTTACTAAATATTGAGAATGTTATTTGGGAAAATCCTAACCCGAACCTGATCCCGCCTCATTCCTAACCCTATAAAAACTAATAAAATTTATACAAAAAAAGGGAAGGTAACATATCTGGTAACTTTGAATACATATATATAGTAAGAAGAAGACTATCGAGTGATTGATTAACATATTGTTATGATAATTAACTACTATCTGTTATTTCTTGTTAAACACATGAACCCAGACATTCGGCTGTTTGCTAAATATTGAGAATATTATTTGGGGAAAACCCTAATCCTAACCCGAACCCCAATCCCGATCCCTAACCCTATAAAAACTAATAAAATGTATACAAAAAAAAGAAGGTAACGTATCTGCTAGCGTACGGTTATACAGAACATTTTTTAAAAAAAAGGATAAATCAGTTTCCTGGATCAGGGAGTGGCAAGGGATTCCCCCCACGAAGTTGCCTTTCAGCAGCAGCACCGAATCAGTTGTCATTCCACCGCGGGAAGCCGATTTAGATTTATTTTGTCCCCTGTTTTGAGCTGCAGATTATTCATATTTTATTTTAATGATGGCAGTAGCTTACGTATAAGGCGAGCTTTAAGCGCCCTGTGGTGGTGGCATCATCCTCATCATCCTCGTTTTCTCCATTCCTGTTTTGCAGCGTTGGTTAAAGCAAGCTCTGGAAGAAGAAAACACGGTGGTTGGGTTTTTTATTTCCTCGCCCCACGAAGGATCCAGAAGTCCTGTCGTCAACGGCGAGAGCAGAAGCCCCCTATTACTGACCGACAGCTGTTGCTTGCCAGGTGACGTTAGTGATGGATTTCACCCTCATCCCACCTTCAGGGCTGGGGTGGCTTATGGTTTCCAGACCACCCAGTTGGGAGCCTCGGCTTCTCAAATGCCCGTATACAGGCGGTCCTCGACTTACGACCACAATCGAGCCTCCCCCCCATTTCTGTTGCTAAGCGAGACAGTTGCTAGGGAAATTTGGCCCCATTTTTACAAACTTTTTTGCCACACAGTTGTTAAGTGAATCACTGCAATGGAAGCGAATCCGGCTTCCTTATTGACTTCGCTCGTCAGGAGGTCCCAAAAGGGGATCACGTGACACCCTGGGACGCTGCAACCGTCAGTTGCCAAGTCAGTTGCCAAGTGTCCGAATTTTGATCACGTGACCATGGGGATGCTGCAGTGGTTGTAAGTGTGGAAAACGGTCGTCAGTCCCTTTTTTTCAGTACCGTTGTAACTTTGAACGGTCACTAAATGAAGTGCTGTAAGTTGAGGACTACCTTTACCGTGCCTTAAACACTGACAGAGAGGGGCTCCCCTCCCCTCCTTTTGGAGAGAGAGAGTGTGTGTGTGTATGTATGTATGTATGTATGTATGTATGTAGCAATAGCACTTATATATCGCTCCACTGTGCTTTTGTAGTCCTCTCTCAGCGGTTTATAGAGTCAGCATATCACCCTCAACAATCTGGGTCCTCCTTTTAACAGTCTCAGAAAAGGACGGAAGGCTGAGTCCACCTTGAGCCAGTCAGGATTAAACTGCTGGCAGTAGGCAGAGTTAGCCTGTAACACTGCATTCTAACCATTGCGCCACCAGGAAGGAGAATGAGAAAGGGAATAAGAGAGGAAGGAAGGAAGGAGGAGGAAAGGGAAGGAAGGAATAGCAATAGTACTTAGACTTATATACCGCTTCATAGAGCTTTACACCCTTCTCTAAGCAATTTACAGAGTCAGCCTGCTGCCCCCCAACAATCTGGGTCCTCATTTTACCGGCCTCGGAAGGACAGAAGGCTGAGTCAACCTTGAGTCGGTCACGATCAAACTCCTGCCGGTGGGCAGAGTTAGCCTATAACACTGCACTTTAACCACTGCGCCACCGTGGCTCTTATTTTATACATACATACATACATACATACACACACACATACATACATACATACATACATATTTATAACTCCTGCAAGAATGGGAGGCCTTTTGCCGCTCGTTAATTTTAAATGGTGGAACAAAGGCTTAGATCAGAGATAAATGACTTCTGTTTTTTCTCCCCGTCTTGCCTCCCCAGATCTGACGACGCCACTCAAGAAGCGAAGACAGTACCAGCTGTTGGACTCCGCCTATTCAGAAACGTCAACGCCCACTCCTTCTCCATACGCCACGCCCACCCACGCCGATTTCTCCGCCTCGGACCCCTTATTGCTCGCCACGCCTCCCCGAATCAAAGCAGAAGACGAAACCTGCAGGAACGGTTACAAGCCTATTTATTCATCCGTTACTTCGGTGATTCCATGTGTCCATGGGAACGCAGTGCACTTTGAGGTGAGTCTCTGGCTCCTGTCCTGCCTGGTCCGATAAATCCATTTTTTTTGCAGCTTCATTGCTTCGGGGGGGAAAAAATGGCTCCATTCACGAGGAATAAAGCTATGCATGTATTTCTCGACGTAAACAACAGTTCGCTTAGTGACTGTTCAAAGTTACAAAACAGCACTGGGGCTTTACGGCCGTTTTTCATAGTTAAACCACCATTGCAGCATCCCCATGATCATGTGATCCAAATTCAGACGTTTGGCACCCGGTTCATATATACCAGTGGTGGCGAACCCATGGCACGGGTGCCAGAGGCGGCACTCAGGGCCCTCTCTGTGGGCACGCGCGCCGTCGCCCCAGTCCTAGGCCTTCAGCTGGGTTTTATAAAACCTTTTCGCTTTAGGCCTTCGCCGCCGTGTGCAAAAAAAAAAGGTTCAATCAGTCAATTTCAACTTCTCGCGGGAAAAAAAAAGATCTTGCAAAGTTGGAATTGATTGATTGAAGTTTTTAGTCCCACCCAGTCTGCCGTTACCACTGCAGCCACGCCCACCCAATGGGCCACACCCACCCGAATGGGCCACACCCACCCAGCACTCGACGATGCATAAGTGGGTTTTGGGTTGCAGTTTGTGTACTCAAGTCTCTAAAAGGTTTGCCACCACTGATATATATACACACGATCCTGGCTGTGTCCCGGGATCATGTGATTCCCCTTTTGTGCCCTTCTGACAAGCACAGTGCATGGGGAACCCAGGTTCACTACTACTACTTCACAACCAGCTTACTAACTTATCAACTGCAGGGATTCGCTTAGCCTCCGTGGCCAGAAAAGTTGTAAAACGGGGCAAAACTCACTTAACAAATGTCTCACTTAGCGACAGAAACATTGGACTCGATTGCGGTCGTAAGTCGAGGTCTGCCTGTAATCTGTCACTACTGTCACCTTTTAGAACTCTGTGAGGGATGCTTCTAAAGAGCCTTTTCCCAAGGAGCAAGAATCAGAGAGGGTCACGGCCCCGTGTCCAGTTTTTCGGGTTCTCTTTTCACCCTTGGCTGCAGTCAGCGCTTAACTAAAGAAATAGGTAGTTTTACCCGATGGAAGAGAAATGATTTTGTTCTTTCTTTGCAAAAAAATCATCAGAATTGTTCGCTTCTGCAGTTTTCAAACGTTCCTTTTTATTATTCTTTTTTGCGCTGCAGAATATTTCTTCACCTGAAAGTTCTCCAGAAGTTAAGAGGCGAACATTTAATCAAGAGGTAAGTTCGCGTGGGAAGTTTTATTTGGTCTGCTTTGCAAATCTTTTTTTTTTTCCTCTATACTGTTAAGTTCTTAGAATGTGTCGTTCAGGGTTGGAGTTTGTAGGGAAGACACATTTGCGGGCCCGAGATCCTAAAAGATAAAGATAGGTGAAATCCTGAGGAACCATAGATAGTTCCTAGGGTCTAGCTTCCCAAGTTCCTACTTTCACGAAGTTAAGTAGGATTTTCTTTGAAAAGGAAAAAAAAATATGTTATTTGTATTTTTAGTACTGTTTTTGATTTAGATTTATGTGTGTTGTGTTTGTATTATTTGTATTTGAATAAAAGAAAATAAATTAAAAAAAGAAAAGAACAGAAAATGGTGGAATGTGCGTAAAATGTCTAATATGCCAAAGAAGATAAGCTAACAGATAATGCAATCTAGGTGTGGCAAATGTTGTCTTTTAATGACACAGTCGTAAATAAAGGAATCAATTTGGCGTCTTCCTTCTCGGGTCCCAATGCAATTAATTGGATAGCTAACTTTTGTTGTTCTTCCAGAACTTTTCAGTTCTTAGCAATGGGTAGAGTCACCAGCTATGATTAAAGATTGTTTCAGTAAAGCAGTTTTTTAAAAAGAGAACAACTGGAATGTTAAACATAAAAATTGAATAATAGGAAAGAACAAAGAGAAATAAAAATTTAGGCGTGTCTTATCCCAGGGGTGGGGGAACCTTGGCTCTTTTGTGACTCGTGGACTTCAACTCCCAGAATTCCTGAGCCAGCCATGCTGAGGGGAAAGGGAGAGGTTTCCAAGCTGAGCCAGGCTGGCTCAGGAATTCTGGGAGTTGAAGTCCACAAGTCATAAAAGAGCCAAGGTTCCCCATCCCTGCCCTATACCAGGGGTCTTCAAACTTTGCCCTTTTATGACTTGTGGACTTCAACTCCCAGAATTCCTGAGCCAGCTACACTGAGGGGAAAGGGAGAGGTTTCCAAGCTGAGCCATGCTGGCTCAGGAATTCTGGGAGTTGAAGTCCACCAGTCATAAAAGAGCCAAGGTTGCCTATCCCTGGTCTATACCAACACACCTGTTAACCTTAAGGAAAAACTCACACATTTTACATCTACAGTTGTTAGATCTGCAGTTAGATCTTGTAGAATAAATCTACAAGTTGGCTTTAAAAGCAAATACAGAGAAAAAAAAAATACATTATAAAAACGAACTACCGGAATAGTTTTACCATGGAAGAGATCTTTTTATTCAGGCTGCCTTGTGCTATTTCCCCCAACGCTGTCACCTTCCCCATCCTTTTTTTCGGACAGGGATACGAACGTTCCTGCGCGTCCATGCTCGCGCTCAACCCGTTCCGAAATTCCAGCCTGACAGAAATATGCCTGCAAGAGATCAAGACGATCGGCTACTCCAGCCCAAGGAGTCGAGCCGAGGGCCCCAGGCAGGGCTCGGGAGAAAAGGAGCCCCCCTCCGAGCTCCAGCTGGGACTCGAAGCGGCCGAGCAAAGCGCGCTGCACAAAACGCTGGTGGACGCTCCCTGCCACAACCGGACTGATGCAAGCAGCCAACTGGAAACGGCGGCGCATTGCGGGCGGGGAGCGGTTTATCCCACCTGGATCAAAAGCCCCGACAGGACAGGTGTCAATTTCTCCATGAATTCGAATTTGAGAGACTTAACTCCTTCGCACCAGTTAGAAGTCGGCGGCGGCTTCCGGATCAACGAGTCGAAGTGCCCGATTCCCGAGGACGCGCGAGGCATGTTTGTGGACGCTCCGGTGTTTTGTACTTCCGAAGAGGGGCTGGCAGCCGGTTTTGGGAGGGCTGCCAGTAGCGACGGCCTGATGGACGCCAACGGCACACCCCAGAATCCCCCACAAAAGAAAAAGGTAGAAGCCACATGTAGGGATGCATTTCTGCTTGTTAATATAAATTTTATATCCTTAAAGGCTTTTCAAGGGCTTCCGCGTAGGCACCCGCTAGGACAGGGGTCCCCAACCTTGGCAACTTTAAGACCTGTGGACTTCAACTCCCAGAATTCCCCAGCCAGCATCGCTGGCTGGGGAATTCTGGGAGTTGAAGTCCACAGGTCTTAAAGTTGCCAAGGTTGGGGACCCCTGCACTAGGAAACTGAACTGCTTCATAAAATTACGAACTAGCAATATTGAAATTTAATCTCAGCACTGGAGGCAAATGCTTGTGTACACTTCAAAGCCAGGGGAGTAGAGAAATACTGGAATGAAATGAAGGTATGCAGGGAGTCCTTGACTTACAACAGTCCCCTTAGTGACTGTTCAAAGTTACAAATGGCGCTGAAACAAGGGACACAATGACCATTTTTCACACTTAACGATCATCGCAGCTTCCTCCACGGTCACTGATTGAAATTCAGCCGCTTGGCAACGGTCTCCTACTTAACGACGGTTGTGGGGGTCACGTGATCCCCTTTTGCGTCCTTCTGACAAGCAAAGTCAAGGGGGGGGGAGCCAGACTCGCTTAACAACCGGGTGACTCAACTTTTAACAACTGCAGCAAGAAAAGTTGTAAAATGAGGCAAAAACTCGCTTCACCAATGTCTCTCACTTAGCAATATAAATTTTGGGCTCAATGGTGGGTCGTAAGTCGAGGACTACCCGTATAGGCCTAGTTGAATCCCGATCATCTATAGCACGGCTCTCCTGGGGCAGATCAGTCTGAATTAAGCTTGTGAGGGAAATGCCCGTAACGTGTTAGAGATGGCAATATTTTGCTTTAAGCTTCTCACTTTGTGTGGAAATCTGCCCCTTATCTAGGCCTTGTGATGATTTACCTGTGGAAAAATCAGGCGTAAACCAGGTCAGGAGTGGGCAACCATGGCCCCTATACGATTCGTGGACTTCAACTCCCAGAATTCCTGAACCTGTTAGCGATAAAAGATTCAGGGCTGCTAATATTGAATCTCAACTTACAAAGCACAAGCTAGAAGATCACCTAGATCCCTCTTGTGCTAGATAGAGCTTCGCTCGCTTGCCGGCTCGGTTCCCAACAGGCCACGGACCGGTCCACGGACCGGAGGTTAATAATAATAATAATAATAGTAGTAGTAGTAGTAAAGTTGGAAGGGACCTTGGAGGTCATCTAGTCCAACCCCCTGCTCAGGCAGGAAACCCTATACCATTTCGGACAAATGGCTGTCCAGTCTCTTCTTAAAGACTTCCAGTGTTGGAGCATTCACCGCTTCTGGAGGCAGGCTGTTCCACTGGTTAATTGTTCTAACTGTCAGGAAGTTTCTCCTTAGTTCTAGGTTGCTTCTCTCCTTGATGAGTTTCCATCCGTTGCTTCTTGTCCTGCCTTCAGGCGCTTTGGAGAATAGCTTGACTCCCTCTTCTTTGGGGCAGCCCCTGAGATACTGGGAGACTGCTATCATGTCCCCCCTCGTCCTTCTCTTCATTAAACTAGACGTACCCAATTCCAGCAACCGTTCCAGGTTGAGGACCTCTGCCTGAATGGATACACAAAGCCCTTGACTTAACAGTGACAGCTGAAGCCAGAATTTTGGTCATAAGCCATTGCCGTTGTAAGTTGAGTCACCACGTGACTGGACTCTACTTGACGGCAGTTGGTAAGCAAATCATATGGTCGTAAGTCTGAATCCGGCTTATCCCATGGACTTTTTTTTTCCCTCCTGGAAAACAGCGAAAACATTACAAACCACCATCACGTGATCGCAGGACCCCGCAGCTGCCCTGCGCCCAAAACGCAGTCACGTGACCTGGGGTCACGGCAGTTGTGACTTTGAAAATAGATTTTGCAAGTCCCTTTTTTTTGTGTGTGAAGCGTCTTGTCATTCCGAACAACCGGTCATAAATTGGGGACTACCTGCCAACGCTTCGTAAGCAGAAATTTCTGCATCAAATAGTAAAGGCAAGCTTAGGCTGACGGGTCAAATATTTTTAAACTTAAAACTTTTGCCGGTGGGTGTTTTTCAAATATTACAGTGAATAAATCGGCACGTTATTCAGCTGGTCAAAGCACACACACACATACACACAAAGCTCTGTGATGATTGTGAGCAAAAAATGACTGTTTTTCACTGTCTTTTCAAAACATTACAGTACACAAGAGTCTGGGGGAGGGAGGGAAGACCTGTGCTGTAATAACTTAAAAGAGAAATTAAGAGAAGCCATCCTCTCCTTTTTTTTGCTTCTTTCCCAGGTGTCGCTTCTGGAATACCGCAAGAGGCAGCGAGAAGCCCGGAAAAGCGGCTCCAAAGCCGAAACTTTTTCTCTCCTCAGCATGTCACCTCACGCTGCCGGGGGAGGGAACGGCGGTGCTGCTCCCGACGGCTACACCAGCAGCGAAAATGGGGAGCAGCCGGAGAGGGAGCAGCCCGCCGCCAGCCTCCCCTCATCTTTGCCAGCCACGGATTACAGCGCCGTTTCCGAAGAAAGCGAAAACTCTTCGTCCTTAAAGGAGGCTTCCGGCGAAAAGAGCGATCCGGAGGGCCAGTGGTAAGCCCTTCTCTAAAATCCGCCCTTCGGGAAGTCGCTGACCTTGCAAAACACGTTTCGCGGGTTAGAGGAAGCTACCCCGTCGAAACGGTGGCCAAAGCTGTTTTCCAAATGTGTTTGCTTCGGTTGCTTTGCGACTGTGTCGCGTTGAGACATTTCAGAGTTAATGCAAAGTTAATGCAAGCAGCCTGGAATTAAGGAGAAACTTTCTGACAGTGAGGACAATCAACCAGTGGAACAGCTTGCCATATTTTCTATTCTATTGTATTCTATTCTTCATTCCTATATTCTATTCTATTTCATTCCATTCCATATTTTCTATTCTATTCTATTCTATTCTATTCTTCATTCCTATCTATTCTATTCTATTCTATTCTATTTCATTCCATATTTTCTATTCTATTCTATTCTATTCTTCATTCCTATATTCTATTTCATTCCATTCCATTCCATATTTTCTATTCTATCTATTCTATTCTATTCTATTTCATTCCATATTTTCTATTCTATTCCATTCCATATTTTCTATTCTATTGTATTCTATTCTATTCTTCATTCCTATATTCTATTCTATTCTATTTCATTCCATATTTTCTATTCTATTCTATTCTATTCTTCATTCCTATATTCTATTCTATTTCATTCCATTCCATTCCATATTTTCTATTCTATATATTCTATTCTATTCTATTCCATTCCATATTTTCTATTCTATTGTATTCTATTCTATTCTATTTCATTCCATATTTTCTATTCTATTCTATTCTATTCTATTCTATTCTTCATTCCTATATTCTATTCTATTTCATTCCATTCCATTCCATATTTTCTATTCTATATATTCTATTCTATTCTATTTCATTCCATATTTTCTATTCTATTGTATTCTATTCTATTCTTCATTCCTATATTCTATTCTATTCTATTTCATTCCATTCCATATTTTCTATTCTATTCTATTCTATTCTATTCTTCATTCCTATATTCTATTCTATTCCTTATTCCATTCATACCAGTCTGCATATAAACTGAACAGAAGACTTTATGAGTCTTTTGGATGGTGACAGACTCTCCGGTCTGTTTATCCCTGCAAGGGAGCAAATGAATATAGAAAACCACCCGTGATCCCATTAGAGCAGGGGTGTTCAACCCTGGTCCCTTGTGGACCTCACTGGGTATTGGTGCTTAGCTAGAATAACAACGATGGTGCAGTCAGGCCTGCCCTAGAGATAATCTGGGGGTGGAGGGTGTTGAAAACGAAGCCCCGAGACTTGCCATCAAAATCTCAACCGTGGCAGGAGGTTGAATAGGCCAGGAGCATTTTTGGCGCGTGGCAGATGATTCCATGAAGTTAACTTTGAGTGCCAGAAACTGCTAAAGTCTTAGTTCTTTACCGATGTCCCTTATTTTTCAGGAGTGGGGGCTGTCTTGGTCACAGTCAGGTGGTTCAGGCCCATTTACCTCTGCTTGCAACGTTTCAGTCTGTACACGTCACGGCTTTAAAACTGGGTAGTAGTTGAATCTGCTCAACTCTGCTCTGGAACCTGCTAGTTCCCGGCTTAACTCTCACACCAGTTACGGCTTGCGCTGGGAAAGTTTCTCCCACCAAACAAAAGAAACCGTGTTGTTTTCAGGCTGGGTGTGAGCGATCAAGTCAAGTCAAATTCATCCTTTAATGATGATGATGATGATAAAGTTGGAAGGGACCTTGGAGGTCATCTAGTCCAACCCCCTGCTCAGGCAGGAAACCCTATACCATTTTGGACAAATGGCTGTCCAGTCTCTTCCTAAAAACTTCCAGTGTTGGAGCATTCACCGCTTCTGGAGGCAGGTTGTTCCACTGGTTAATTGTTCTCACTGTCAGGAAGTTTCTCCTTAGTTCCAGGTTGCTTCTCTCCTTGATCAGTTTCCATCCTGCCTCCAGGTGCTTTGGAGAATAGCTTGACTCCCTCTTCTTTGGGGCAGCCCCTGAGATACTGGAGCGCTGCCATCATGCCCCCCCTCGTCCTTCTCTTCATTAAACTAGACATCCCCAATTCCAGCAACCGTTCCTTATATGCTTTGGCCTCCAGTCCCCCTTTATTACGGCAGGGATCAGCATATAAGGAGGATGGCATAAAAGATACATACAACTAAAAATAAATTACCTATAAAAAAGCTAAAAGCATCTAAAAACATAAACCTGAAAGGAATCTTAACAGGAGCAGCAGATGAGCATAAAGAAGTGGTCTGATCATGATTCCCAGAGAAAGGTGGAGGGAAGAACCTGCTGCCATGGTTAGCAAACGGCGGCACCCTCTAGTCTGCACTACATCTCCATGCCTATTCACTAGGCAGGTGGGGTTCTCTAGGGCACAGAGAGAGAAAGAGACATGGGATCATTGCATCCTTCTCACTTGGACACTAAGGTGAGGAACAACCTTTTAACTGAGTCCTTCTTGCTGGACTTTCCTACCTACTCTCTTACTTGGGGCTAGTAAGGTATGTGCCAGGCTACAGGTTTCACCAGTGTTAAAACAAATTCACGTGGCTCAGCTCACTGTCCCGTTCAGTCCGCGAGCAACTATGTAGTTCTTACACTGGAGACCCCATATGGGCTCACCTAGATCCCACACTGTGTGAACTACCGTGGGATTCACCCACCTTTACTCTCAGGGCTTCCCTCGCATCCCACTGATTTTTTCCCACGAGGAAACACCCAAGGAGAACCTCCAGAGGCCTTCCTAAGGCCGTAGAATACTTCCACGCCTTTGCATTTTCCTTAATCCACGACAACATCAAATATTTCACGAACCCTTAAAATTATAAGCCGCCAAAAATGTTCTGAAGCCCTTTCACGCCCCTTTCGATAGCAAGGGAGCCCGAATGAAAATGGCCCTGATATTTGTGGTGAAGCAAACTACAAGTTGGGTTTCTCTTTCTCTTTTAAAGGACCTCTTCAACATCGGTGGAGCAAGTCAGGGAACGAAGTTATCAGCGAGCATTGCTTCTTAGTGATCACAGAAAAGACAAGGATTCTGGTAAGAGATCACTGAGTGGATCACACGCCCTCCTTTTGTGTAGCAGCTCCTGGTTGCTGAGCCGCGGTGGCACAGTGGTTAAGAGTGCCATATTATTGCAGGCTGACTCTGCATTCCCACAGCCAGGAGTTCGATCCTGACCGGCTCAAGGTTGACTCAGCCTTCCGTCCTTCCGAGGTCGGTAAAATGAGGACCCAGATTGTTGGGGGGGGGGGCAACAGGCTGACACTGAAAACTGCTTAGAGAGGGCTGTAAAGGCACTGTGAAGCGGTATATAAGTCTAAGTGCTGTTGCTAGTGCTATTGTTTCTGGTGGTCTGTTTTGATTAGTGGCAACTGTTCACCACAGACACCAGTTGTTGGATCTTAGGAGAAGAACGGTCTGGGCTTCTGTCTGTTACATATATAAAAGTTTAATCTATTTCCCCCCCCCCCAATTTCTTACCAATATCCAGACCCAGCAATATTTCTATTTAGAGACTTGTTTGTTGCAGAAACTGATCCTGAAAATCTGGAGCCTACAAGTGAATGTCCATCCCCAGATACTCCTCTGAAGACGTGCAAGAGTCCTCTGAAACCAAGCAAGGTACAGCATGGTCAAATTTCTGTGTGTGTGTGTAGATAGATAGATGATAGATAGATTATAGAGATAGACTAGAGATTAGATAGATAGATAGAGAGAGAGAGAGAGAGAGAGAGAGAGAGAGAGAGAGAGAGAGAGAGAGATTATAGAGATAAATAGACTAGAGATATAGAGAAATAGATTATAGAGATAAATAGACTAGATAGAGATATAGAGAGATAAAGTAGATAGAGGTAGGTAGGTAGGTAGATAGATAGATAGATAGATAGATAGATAGATAATAGATAGATAGAAAGATAGATAGATAGATAGATAGATAGATAGACAGACAGACAGACAGACAGACAGACAGACAGACAGACAGACAGACAGACAGACAGATGAGAGATTGAGGTTTATTACTCAGCTTAGAATTCAAACGTACAGTTTTCATAAAGAAGCAGTATAATTTTAATTATCAAATGCTGGAGACAAAAAGATCTCTGACACCGTTACTCTGAATCCCTAGAGACATTTGTAAGACTTAAGATGGAAAAAAGAATGCTGGACTTGACTGGTTTTATTAGTTCAGCAAAGCAGTTCTTAGATAGTGCCCAGGTCAGATTTGAGGTTATAATTCTGTACACTTGTGAGTTCCAGAAATACGTCAGAAGTAGCGGTTTTGCCAATACAAGTTAGCCTAGAACAGGAGTAGGCAACCTTGGCTCTTTTATGACTCGTAGAATTCAACTCCCAGAATTCCTCAGCCAGCCTGGCTCAGCTTGGAAACCTCTCCCTTTCCCCTCAGCGTGGCTGGCTCAGGAATTCTGGGAATTGAAGTCCACGAGTCAAAAAAGAGCCAAGGTTCCCCATCCCTGGGATAGGTTAAAAGACTAAGTACTAAGTAACTGCACAGGATTGTTTCAAGAGTGGATAGATAGCTCTTTCCAGCAAACGCAAATGCAGTACAGGTAGTCCTCGAATTACAACCGTTCATTTAGTGACCATTCAGAGTTACAACAGCAACGAAAATAGTGACTTAGGATCATTTTTTCACACTTGACCATTGCAGCGTCCCCGTAGTCATGTGATCAAAATTTGGATGCTTGCTAACTGGTTCATCTTTATGACGGTCGCAGCATCCCCCCAGGGTCACGTGACTTCCTTTTGAGACCACCTGACAAGTAGAGTCAATGTGGAAGACAGATTCACTTAACAACCGGGTTACTAACTTAAGGGCAATGATTCCCTGAACAACTGTAGCCAGAAAGGTTGTAAAATGGGGCAAAAGTCACTTAACATCATAAGTGTTGAGCCTCAATTGTGGTCGTAAGTCGAGGACTACCTGTATTTGAAATACCAGAGAGTGTGTCTATTTTGCTTGTAAGATTTCAGAATAACAATTCTTGAAATGAGATTGAAGCCATTATCCTGTGAATGCCAGATGCGGAACAGATCTATTAATACCAATTAAATTTTGCCTTCATTGGTTTTTTTTAAGAATTAGTTAAATACATTAATATAAATATACCTTGCTAGTTCTCTACTGCAAAACCACCAAGAGGCATGACATTTTGGGCTGCAGTTCTTACTCGAACTAGTTAACTTCTTCAAATGTTAGTAAAGCTATGGCTTTTTCCAGAAGTTGCGATTGTTTTTATATAATTCACAAAACAGGAGTATCTATTCCTTCATTTCGTGAGGTTCAAAGTTTTAAAGAGGTAGATATACATTGTGAGGGCCTCTTGCGTGAAGAAATGCTGTTCCTGGTGGTCCTCTTTCCTGAGCCTGCCCAGAACTGCATTTTTGTTTTTAGCCAGGATGAATGTCTTTCCGACAACCGGCAGGCCCTTAACTCTTCTTTCTCTTGATGTAGACTTCTTCTTCTTCTTCTTCACCAAATCCTGTCGTTCCTGTTCAGCCGCTCGGAAAAACGCCCACAAAACAGGATTCCCAGTGGGAGAGCGCAGGAGACACTCCTGGGGCCGACAACGCAACTCACCCCAAACCAGACCAGCAACCGAAACCGCCGCCCAATAACGCCGAAGCACTTTCGAAACCGCCCCAGCCCCTCCTGCGTGGGGCGGCTGACCCTCTCGGCCAGAAGCCGCCGCCGGCCCCACCGAAGCTCCCTTGCCCCACGTCGCCTCACGTCGAAAACGCCCCCAAGCCGTCCACCCCCCTCGCCCCAGCTCAGCATGGCTACCTGTCGCCAAAGCCTCCTTCCCAACCGCTGGGGTCACCGTACCGGCCTCACCACCCGCCGTCTCCCCAAGTGGGGACACCTCAGAGAGACTCGCACCGGGGTTTTTACGCCGCCACCCAAGCGCTTCAGCCCGGCGCCCCGCAGCCGACCACCGGGACGTTGTTCCCCCCAACCTCTTCGGTCTCTTACGGTCCGTTTCACCAACAAACTCTCAACGCGGGGCCCCCGCCACCCCCTCCCCCTCCGCCCCCCTCCACCACGTACTATCAAAACCAGCAGCCCCCCTCAGGAAACTTTCAAAATTACAACCCGCTCAAAAGCGGCCTCCCGTCCCAGCAAACCATCTTCCCCTCCGGACCAAACCAAGCCCTCACCAGCACCGCCTGTCAGCAGCAGCCCGTCTCGGGCCACCTGGTCAACAGCGGGCACTTCCTGCCCTCCCCAACGCCCAGCATCCATCACCAGAGCCCTGTGGTGGGGGTGCCCCCGCCTCCACCCCCTCCTCCAGCGGCTCCCGGACCGCACCTGGTGCAGGCGCAGAACACGCACCCGCCGCACGCCGGGGCCCACGGGGTGAGTCCCGCGGCCGCCAGTTCCCACCTCCATTCGCCAGCTGCCAGCCACCACCTGCCTCCACCCCCGCCGCCTCCTCCCGGCCCCCTCCCTCACCACCTCCCTACTCACCCCACTGCAGCCCATCAAGGTTTGCAAGCACAACACCAGCACGTAGTAAGCTCGGCGCCTCCTCCACCACCACCGCCGCCGCCTCCACCACCACCACCTTCCAACGTATTGAGCTCCGCTCATCACCCGGCGCCGGCCCAAGGACTACATCACCCATCTCACCAAGGGCCCTCCCTTTTCCCGTCAAGCGCTCACTCAACGGTGTCAACTTACCCATCACAGCCTCCTCCTCATCCCCCGTTGGGATCCGGACCTCAGCATCAGCCGGCCGGGACGGGAGCGCACTGTCCCCTCCCCGGCCAGGTGTCTCACCTCCAGCAGCCTCAAGGACCCGCCAGTATTGCCACCACCCCTACGGCCTCCGGCTTCTGTCCTCATCCGGGCTCCGTGTCCCTTCCTCACGGCGTGCAAGGACCTCAACAAGCATCTCCGCTGCCCGGGCAGATCCCTATCCACAGAGCCCAGGTGCCGCCGACGTTTCAAAACAATTACCACGGTTCCGGCTGGCATTAAAACGAATCCCCCTACCCACCCCCTACTCCCGCCCACCACCACCCTGTCTCCTTCGCTTCTAAACATTTTAAAAAATGTTCTGTAAAAACTGTATATTTCATATGTACCGGTTCAAGGTACTTTTTAAAGCTTGTACATTATACTTTGTATAAAAGCGAAAACACCAGTGCGCCCGCGTGCTTTCATGGTCTTCTTTCCAGTTTTGCTTTTAAAAAGAAAAAGGAAAAAAAAAAAATCCCTAAAACCGTGCGGTTAAAAAGCCGGTTTTTTTAGGCGGGGTTTTTTTTTTTTTTTAAATTATTATTTTGTACACGAACATTCCAGCTCCGTTTGTTCCGGCAGTAGATGGGTTTGCCGCATAACTTTTAAAAAAGAAAAAATTTTATCGTTGCAGTTAAAATTCATTTAGTGAATGTTTTCTATATTTACTTTTTATACATATGTAATTAAAAAAGAAGTACACGGCTAAGTGACGGCTCTAACAGGTTTTTTTTTTTCCTTCCTTTTTTCATCTTGTCAACAGTTTTTTGTGTGCATATAGTAGACGACGCAATACAGATTTATTTTTTTTTATATATATATATAGTTTGGTGTGAACATGGCTCTTTTTCTTTCCCAAACTTATTTTCAAGACATTGTAATTTAATGTATAGATTGTTTCTAATGTCTCTTTGACGAGTGCTGTAAATACTGTTCCTTTTGCGTGTAAAACTGCTTAATGCTTCTCATTTGATATAGTATTGTACATACGAGTCTTTTGCAAAAGCGTGTGATCTTTGTGAAAGTAGTACAGTATATGAACTTTTAATTTTTTTTTTTAATATACTGTCACATCGCAGCACTGGTTGGGCATTTTAATTCATGTTAATAAATCACAATTATGTCAGTTTTAACCCTTTTGTTTCGCTAGTTTGCTGTTTGAGACAATGTTACGTTAGAAGGGGGTTGCGAGGGAGTNTGCAAAAGCGTGTGATCTTTGTGAAAGTAGTACAGTATATGAACTTTTAATTTTTTTTTTTAATATACTGTCACATCGCAGCACTGGTTGGGCATTTTAATTCATGTTAATAAATCACAATTATGTCAGTTTTAACCCTTTTGTTTCGCTAGTTTGCTGTTTGAGACAATGTTACGTTAGAAGGGGGTTGCGAGGGAGTGATGGGGCCTTAGCTGCTCCTCACAGGCCAAAGGAGGCTTTGTAGTCCCTGAGCACAACAGACACACAACTGTTAATCGTCCATTAATCCAAAGTACTCTGAAGACATTTAACAACTGGCAGCCACACTTTGTCCAACTTAGCAGTGCTGTCTGGAGGAAAATGCTACCCCCTGGTAGTCGCAGAAACTACTACTAGTTTACTAGTGTGCCATTTATCAAACGGCATTCTTCAATGCTAAACACGACAGGTAGTCTCTGGCTAACAACAGTTCGTTTAGTGAAGGCTCAAACTTTACAGCTTCCCACCATCTTGGCAGCCTCGCCACGGTCAGGTGATCAAAATTCGGACGCTTGGCAACTGACATGGACTTATGACTGTTGCAGTGTCCCGGGGAGTCACGTGATCCCCTTTTGCCACCTTTTGACAAGCACAAGTCAACAGGGAAGCCGGATTTCACTTAACAACCGGGTTACTAACTTACAAACTGATTTCACTTAACAACGGGGGCAAAACTCACTTAACAAATGCCTCACTTAGCAACTGAATTTCTGTCCTCAGTTGCACCCGTAACACGAGGACTGCCTGCACTGATAAAACCGGTAGTAGAAGAGAACAACCAACCGTGTTGTGGCCACATAAAAAGTGAACGACGATTTAGGTTTTCGTCTACTCCATCCTTGCCAGAGTATTGCTCTAATTAGCACAATATTAATATTACCCACTTAACTTGCAGCCAGGCCTCTCCTCGACGGTCCACTTCTTCTCTGACGTCCCCAGGCCTGCATTTGGCAGTCAAAGGCCTTTCCGGAAGGCCTCTGCAGCCGAGAACTGAGCAATGGATTGAATCCATCGCTCGGTTATCAGCTGCAGTGGCCTTCCGGAATGGCCTTTTGACTGCAAAATGCAGGCTGAAGCTTCATTCTGAGCTGCAGAACGAAGCTGCTCCTTCGGCCGCAGAAAGTGGGCTGGCTGGGCAGGGCTGTACACACACACACACACACACACACACACAAATAAGACTTGGTGCCTCTTGGAGGCAAAAAATAATAAGACCAGGTCTTATTTTTGGGGAAATGCAATACTTGAGATGGTGCCATGTATTACACCAGGAATCTTCAAACTTGGCCCTTTTATGTCTCGTGGACTTCAACTCCCAGAATTCCTGAGCCAGCCGTGCTGAGGGGAAAGGCAGAGGTTTCCAAGCTGAGCCATGCTGGCTCAGGAATTCTGGGAGTTGAAGTCCACGAGTCATGAGGGGGCCATAGTTTCCTTCATGCTGGCTCAGGAATTCTGGGAGTTGAAGTCCACGAGTCAGAAAGCGGCCTAGGCCTAGGTCAGGGGTAGGCAACCTTGGTTCTTTTATGACTCGTGGACTTCAACTCCCAGAATTCCTGAGCCAGCCACGCTGAGGGGAAAGGGAGAGGTTTCCAAGCTGAGCCATCCTGGCTGAGGAATTCTGGGAGTTGAAGTCCACGAGTCATAAAAGAGCCGGGGTTGAGGACCCCTGATATAGAGAGATTGCAGGGTTTCACAGAGAGAGAAAAACAGCCCAAGAAACAAAGCTGCCACTGGGGAAGACTCCGTGTGTGTGTGTGTGTGTGTGTGTGTGTGTGTGTGTGTGTGTGTGTGTGTGTGTGTGTGTAGCAGCAACCCATTTAAAAAATAATAATAAAATTGCTGTGTGGGGTCTCGGCTGGATCGCTGTCACCCAAATCAAATTGCGATCCAGCAGCGAATGAACTTCCAACTGTGATTTGTGTATGGAAATGAAGACGGTCTTAAGCCAGATGTAAAATCACCTCCTTTTTATATATAGTACATAAATAGAATACAGTATGCAAATAATAATCGGGGGGGGGGGGGGACAAGCTAGGCAAACCAAAGCAAACTCTTCCATAACAATCCTGTTCCGCATCCCCCCTCCCTCACATTACCCCCCCCCCCGGGGAGAATTCCAGGCGAAGGGCCGGGAAAATAACCACACGCTCTCTCTCCTTGAGCTGAGGATATGCCAATATTGCCACCACCAATCAGGGCAAAGCATTGTGATCAATCGATCTCCACTCGATTCGGCTCTTAACCAATGGACAGTTGAGTGAGTTGTGCAAGACTTTGGAGGTCCTGGGTGGTGCTTTCCTGGCAGACGTTTCGTGACCCAACTAGGTAACGCCATCAGTGCTGAGTTTCCTAGTCGGGTCCCGAAACGTCTACAAGGAAACCCACCCACGCTCAGAGAGCACCCAGGACCCCACAACACATACACACACACACAGTTCAACCCTGAGCTACACAAATAGTTTTATCGAACGCAAGACTTTTCTGAAGCTGTAGGTGTTCTCCAGACTGGGACAGGTCTAAAGCAATTTATGATGTGTGGGGTTGGTTTTTTTTGTTGCAAATGTAGTTTGTACCGATAGTCCTTTATGGGCTCTGTCCAAAAATCTGTTTCTGTGACTGTACAAAGGATCCCTTTGAAAAGCTATAGTTACGTACAAGCATTCTAGCTACTAGCACCACACTGGCTGCAAATAAATTAACTCCAGCCGGCCTTCTGGAATTTTGATCCCGGCGTCCAAAATAGTTATAGCAAGGCTGGGAATATCTATTGTGCGTCGTTCTGCTTTTGTTTTTTTAAATCAACATTTGAAAACAAAAGGGCAAACACTTCTGCAGCACTGCCATTTGGGTTTTTTTGTTTTTTGTTCCCCTAACAAACATCGAACGAGTAAAACCGTTTTGCATTTGCCCCTACTAAAACAATCCAGAGGGAGCAGGACAATTTCTGAAAAAAGAAAAAACAACCACTTTAATTAAGACAACTGCAAGCACCTCGAACAATTAATTATTGTTACAATATGGGGGGGTGGGGTGGGGGGGGAATCGTCTCACAATCTTTTAAGACTTGCAAAGGCATGTGAATAACTTTAAAATGGACAAAGTGGCACCATAATTCATGTGTAAAACCAGAAATAAATTTACATTCATCCTCACTGACTTTTTAAAAGAGGCTAAAACACACCTCTGTATTTTTTATTATTTTTTTTACATTCTAAAATCTGTATTGCCTAGATAGGAGTTTCTCTCTTTTTTTTGGAATCTACTTTTCTTTTTCTTTTTTTCTTTTTTTTTCTTCTTTTAATACAAAAACACCTAACTTCTGTGTGCAACTTACAAAAAGGAAGGTTAGTTCCTCAATACGTCGATTATGGGGTGGGGGGGGAAATAAAAGCTAGTGCAATTTTGTTTCTGAAATAGGTAAAGCTATGAATGGAAGAAGGTGCATGATCTTTCATTATAATGTAAGGTTTGTATCGTTTCTGCTTTTTTTGTGTTTTGTTTTCCTCCGTTAAACGGGCTACTTTTTTTTTTTGTCCTCCAAGGTCCTGCACAAAATGCTTCCAAAGTTTTCTTTAAATTCTTCAGCCTTTTCCCGTGTAAGATTGCGAGTATCTTGGCGATGTTTCGTCGAGGTCCCACTCGTCATCTTCAGGCTGGGGTCTTCGGCTTCGTGCTTGTGCGAGCAAAGTGTGATCGGAGCTGCCGTCTCTCTATAAATATTGGTGTGTGTGTGTGTGTGTGTGTGTGGAGTGCTGGCTTAGTTGCTGTAGGTGGGTTGGTTGGCTGTGTAGGGGTTATTGTTTGCGGATTGTTATAACACAAAAGACTAATGGGCACACAGCCAGCACCTCAACTACTCAGGATGTTATGAAACAGCTGAATAATCCGCAAACAATAACTCCAACACAGCCAACCAACCCACCTACAGCAACTAAGCCAGCACTCCACACACCCCCCCACCAATATTTATAGAGACGGCAGCTCCGATCACACTTTGCTCGCACAAGCACGAAGCCGAAGACCCCAGCCTGAAGATGACGAGTGGGACCTCGTCGAAACGTCGCCAAGATACTCTCAATCTTACACGGGAAAAGACCCGAACGCGCCAAGACCTACATATATATATGTATAGACACACATATATATAACTCTTCGAACACTCCTTTTAAAGTGCCTCTCGGAGAGTGATTTTTTTTAGAAATCAAGAGCCACTTTTCTTTCAAAATCCAATATAAGCTACAGAAAGGGACGTTTACAAAACTCCCTAAAGCAAATCCTACTACATGCATTTTTGCATCCTATAGTCGCTTTCAATTTAATCGCTTTAACTCTGCAACTTGTGCCCCCCCCCCGTCCCGGTTTTTTTTGTTTTGTTTTTTGTTTGTTTGTTTGTTTTTAATGGAAATAAACATTTACAGGGTGCATTTACATAACGCTATTTTACAAGAACAAGATCCCTTTTGCTCAAAAAGATAAGAATTGTACATTTCCAAATTCGGACTCGATCAACGTCTCACACTGGTAAATGATAGAATATTCAGCTAAAATAGTTTCCATAAATAGTTTACAAACCTGCCCCCAAAAACACGTGAAAGGAAGAAGAGTCGGGCGGGTTCCAAAAGTCAATGCTTGAATTCCACACAACACAAGAAACAATGCTTAAAAGACACGAGAGTTAAGTGGGGTGTTTTGTGTGTGTGTGTTTGTTTGTTTTTAAGGAGATAGTAGAACTACTAGTTGAAGACAAATAGGCCATCTTCCTTTCTCCTTCCTCCTCCCCAGAACACAGTGCACGAAAAAGCAAAAGGTCAAACGGTACCTCAAAGTAAAAAAAATAAAAGTCTGGGATTGAAGACAGCTCATGGACCATTCTCTTAAGAGCATTTATGACAGTCACCGTTTTTAGGTTTGATGCGCGAGAAAGTGGCGGTGGAAGGGGGGGAGGCGCCTGGCCCGACGTGTTCGACCCGAGGCCGCTGCTACGAATTCAGCCAAGGGTGCCGAAGACATTCGCCAGCCGAGGCTCGCTTTTCCGGAACCATTTCCAACATGGGGATCAGGAAATCGGTAAACTCGGCCGCGTCTTCTTGCGGCCAGCCGTATTTCTCCACCAGGACGTCAAACAGGCTCCAGGGTTTCAGTTTGGTAATGTGCCGAAGTTCTCCTGCGTTGACGAAAAGGAGGAAGAGAAAAGCGTTAACTCCTGCGCGCGTCGAGATGGGTTTTTTTTATTATTATTATTTTTTTCAGGTTCCTTCGGCACCTGTGTTCTAATCGTGCGGCAAAAATAGCCTCGTGGTTTAGCAGATTTGGCCGTTTGAAAAAAAAAAAAACAGGACCTGTTTCGCAAGGGGTGGAAACTAACCTCGTAGTAAGGTATTTAATCCGTATTTAACCGGAAGGGATAATGGGTGTATAATGTGGTTTTTGATGCACCTGTTTGTTTGTTTTTAGTTGGTTTTTTTTTTAACCTCTTTGGATTTTTTTCTTCAGTTTTGTATTTGGGATTCTCGCTTTGTTTTGAAACAAATTTAAAAAAAAAAGCATATATTAAGAAAAATAGCCTGGTGTTTCCTGACGTTTTATTCAGAAGCTTGCAAGAAAGAAAAACTGCTGGGAAACAGATTAACTTGAGACGCGCTAAGCCGTTTCCCATACATTCCCCCGAGATGCTGCATGACTGTAAGCCAAAATGTCAAAAGCGTCATAATAAATAGAATCGGGCTGATCCTTCCAAGTACCAAATGGAAAATTAAAAACAGAATCTGCAAAGCTGACTGTGTAATGAGGAGGGGGGCCCTTATATTGTAAAATCGACGTTAATATGATTTAATAAATGCAGTGAACCTTGGAGCTTATGAAGGTGCAACTCCCAGCAGCCATGCACTTAACGTAGGTTTCCTCCCCGCTCGGTTGGCTGGGGGATTCTGGGAGTTGAAGTCCGAAAGTCTTAAGGATGCCGAGGGTGGATGCTCCTGCTGTGGAAGACCCTGATTAAACACATTTAGGCCTCGACTTCATAACAGTTTCATTTACTTGACTGTCCAAAGTGACAACGGGACTGGAAAAAGTTGACTTACGACCACGTTTTAGGCTTATGACCATTGCAGCATCCGAATTACAGGATTACAGGGTTGGAAGGGACCTCGGAGGTCATCCAGTCCAACCTCCCGCTCAGGCAGGAGACCCCTACAGAATCACAGAGTTGGAAGGGACTTTGGTGGTCATCTAGTCCAATCCCCTGCTCAAGCAGGAGACTCTTACAGAATCACAGAGTTGGAAGAGACCTTGGAGGTCATCTAGTCCAACCCCCTGCTCAGGCAGGAGACCCCTACAGAATCACAGAGTTGGAAGAGACCTCGGAGGTCATCTAGTCCAACCCCCTGCTCAAGCAGGAGACCCTTATAGAATCAGAGTTGGACGGGACCTCGGAGGTCATCTAGTCCACCCCCTGCTCAGGCAGGAGATCCTTATAGAATCACAGAGTTGGACGGGACCTCAGAGGTCATCTAGTCCAACCCCCCGCTCAGGCAGGAGACTCTATATGTTGTGGGTGCGCTGTCACTGGAGGATTTTAAAGAAGAGAGTAGACAACCCTTCATCTGAGCAGGGGGTTGGGCTGGATGACCAGAAGTCCTCCAAGGTCCCTTCCACCATCATCGTCATCCTTCCAAGGTCCCTTCAAACTCTTATTCTATGATTCTGCAAGGGTCTCCCGCTTGAGCAGGGCACGTGATCAAAATTCGGACGCTTGGCAACTGCTTCGTATTTACGACGGTCGCAGCGTCCCGGGAGGTCATGTGAATCGCCATTTGGGACCTTCTGAGAAGCCAGGTCAACGGGGGGGGGGGAGCCAGATTCACTGAACAACGTGTTACTAACTTAACCAGCGCAGTGATTCACTTAACAACGTGGCAGCAAAAGTCGTCAAAGGGGGCAAACTCACTTAACAAACGTTTCGCTTAGCCACCTAAAATTTGGGGCTCAATTGTGGCCGTAACACGAGGACTACCCGTAGGATGAAAACTGCCCTAAAAATAAAAGGGGGGGGACCTCTTGCACCCTGAATTCTTTCTTTCAACAGAAGCCACAGAAATCAGATCTTCGTGGACTTCCAGCTGCAAAAAAAGAATCTTCAAATAAGTTTGAAGGGGAAATATTTGAAATGCGCAGAGACCAGGGATCAAAGAGCCTTCAAACCCGATTTTGAGAAAGTTATATTCACTTATTATATAAAATTATATTAACAATCAGTGGAACGCCTTGCCTCCAGAAGTTGTGGGTGCTCCATCACGGGAGGTTTTTAAGAAGAGGCTGGACAGCCATTTGTCTGAAATGGTCTAGGCCAGAGGTAGGCAACTTTGGCTCTTTTATGACTCGTGGACTTCAACTCCCAGAATTCCTGAGCCAGCCGTGCTGAGGGGAAAGGGAGAAGTTGCCAAGCTGAGCCATGCTGGCTCAGGAATTCTGGGAGTTGAAGTCCATGAATCATAAAAGAGCCAAGGTTGCCTACCCCTGGTCTAGGGTCTCCTGCCTGAGCAGGGGGTTGGACTAGAAGACCTCCAAGGTCCCTTCCAACTCTTGTTAATTCTGTAAAGTCAAACTAACATAAGGCAAACCACAAGGGGGCGGTGCAGATCCATCTTTGGGTCTACTGCTTTTACCAAAGCAAAACCTGTATTAAAGTAAGCCAAGGGCAATATGCATTACTCATAATTCTAATGTTAACAGCACGTTCTTTATTAATCTGCTTTTTTTCTAAAAGGGAAACCTGTTTCAAAAAGGGAGGGGGGCAGTGCCTTGATTACAGGGTTTAGCTCATTCCCACAATAACCTCATGAAAGAGATCTTCTGGGTCAGTTTTACACGTATTCTTTGCAGGATTACATTACCCCACGTCACAAACTCCCAAATTAACAATTTAGGCAATGCCATTATTACCCCCCTGCTACAAATTAAACACAAATTGCATCCTTTGCATCAAACGAATGACTTTAGGGGCAATAAAAAATAAAACCCTTGCATTTGTTTGCTTGTTTATGCCCTGCTGAATTAAAATGACTCCTTGGCAGGTTAGACAGAATATAAACAGGGACAAAAGAAAACATTTTTGGTGATGTTTGAAATGTCACTGATCACAAGCAATGGAACGAACAGTCGCCCACGAGGAGTGGGGGGAAAAATTTAAATAAAAGCAATCTAAGTGAAGGTGAAAAACGCCGTCCTAAAGTTTGTCTGTATAGGGTTTCCTGCCTGAGCAGGGGGTTGGACTAGATGACCTGCAAGGTCCCTTCCAACTTTATTATTATTATTATTGTTGTTGTTGTTGTTGTTATTATTATTATTATTATTATTATTATTATTATTATTATTATTATTATTATTATTATTATTATTATTATTATTATTATTATTATTAAATGGCTGTCCAGTCTCTTCTTAAAAACCTCCAGTGTTGGAGCATTCACCGCTTCTGGAGGCAGGTTGTTCCACTGGCTAATTGTTCTAACTGTCAGGAAGTTTCTCCTTAGTTCTAGGTTGCTTCTCTCCTTGATTAGTTTCCGTCCGTTGCTTCTTGTCCTGCCTTCAGGCACTTTGGAGAATAGCTTGACTCCCTCTTCTTTGGGGCAGCCCCTGAGATATTCAGACTTCAACTCCCAGAATTCCCCAGCCAACAGAGTATATAATTTGTTGAATTCCTCAAACTGACATATTTCCAACATATGTGTACCATAGTATTATGTGATCCCTCTCTATCATTTTATTACTGTTAATCTTGTGCTCTATGCCATATGCTAAATAAATAAGTACTGGAATATTATATATGGTCTCTTCAGCTCCTTTTAAGAAAAAAAAGTCTGGTGTAAACATAAAAAGAAAAAGAACGAAAAGAAATTGTTTTACCCTTCGCCTTGTCTTGATTAGCAAAGAAGGCTTAATCAAGTCCTCGGTATTTTACAAAATCAATTTAAAGCTTTCGAATCGTCTTAAGTTCCATGAAATAATTGTTAGCGAATGTTTTTTTAAATGTAAACCCAGACAGCACGCTGTTTACCAAATATTAAGGTGACCATGTTAAAAAAATCAATAAAATATATTATATAAAAAAGTAATTATTCCCTTGACTGTGCAGCTGTATAAAATAGCTTTAATTGAAGTTATTTTATCTGTGTTTCTCTGGATAGCAGGAACAAGATGGAGATAACCCAAAGTGCACTTTACACCTGGCACCTCCACAGAAGCATCTTTTTGAAGCTAACTATACTAACCTCCCTTGCAATTAAAATTATCTTGAGCAGACACAGACTTAAAACATTCTCTATTCTTTCTCCATTTGCTGCTGCTCTTATTATTAAAAAAGCACCAAGGCCATTGTTCTAACACTGTTCCAGGAAAGGATAAGATGCCATTTGTATTAAAACATCTTTTAACAGCGATATAATTCTACTTTTAACCTTTCATCTCTTCTTTCAGAGCTTCCCATATTTCTTCTGACCCGTACTTCAAAGACGTTGTCTAGGTAAATTTTTTTTTTTTTAAAGAATCCAAGATTAAAAAGAACCTTAATATTTTTTTCCCCAAAGTTGGAAGATTAAGATGGTCTACAATAAGCAATAAACAAAGATTGCGGGTACGGGTGTTTTTTTTTCTCTGATCGGAGGGAACCGTTTTATTTCTTTGAAGCACAATCTTGGAATAGTCTCATTTACTTCAAGTCAGGAGACTTAAAATATCCAGGTTTTGTAAATACAGATAGTCCTTGACTTACAACAGTTCATTTCATGACCGATCAAAGTTATGACTGCGTGAAAAAAGTGACTTAGGACCGTTTGGCACCTTTATCACCGTTGCAGCATCCCCAGGATCACGTGATCAAAATTCAGATGCTCGGCAACTGGCATGTAGTGTCCCGGGGTCACGTGATCAAAATTCAGATGCTCGGCAACTGGTTTGCAGTGTCCCGGGGTCACGTGATCCCCTTTTGGGACCTTCTGACTAGCAAAGTCAAGGGGGGGGGGAAGCCAGATTCATTTAACAGCTGTGTCACTGACTTAACAACCGCAGGGGTTCACTTCACAATTGTGGCAAGAAAAGTCATAAAATGAAGCAAAACTGACAATCACCGTCTTGTTTAACAACAGAGGGTCAATTGCGGTCATACGTCCAGGACTATCCGTAAAACAAAATTCATCCTGAACATATTTTCAAAAAAAACCCTTTTTTTAAAATGCTTCTTCGTTCATAAGGATGAGTCATTTGTGTGTGTGTGTGTGTGTGTGTGTGTGTACAGGGAGGGGAACGAGCTATTATTGATATTAGGGGGGGGTCAGAAACACCGTTACCTTTTTTGGTGAAAAACTCCTTGGAATATTTCCCCAACATTGCGTATTTTCGAGGGACTTTTCCCAGCAGTTCAATGATCAATGCTATGTGATCTGGATTCGAGCACATTTCCAGCAAAACAGAAACATACAACAGTTTAATCAATAACACGGCATGCACACGACGACACCGGGCCCCGGATACAGACAGAAGCAGACATGCTCGAAAACACGGGGGAGGCGAACGTTGCTTGCCAAGTGATTTAGCAAAGCCGGTCCAAATCGGAGGGCCGGGCCGCCGTTTGGGAAAGCGAAGCATCCAAAATCCTTCATAGCTTTCCAGTCCTACAATATATACATATATATATATATATTTCTAATTATGCTAAAAATGCGAATCCTGGGTAAATCCATACCATAAAATAATCCGAACACCAGGATAATACTAAAAACAAAACTGTTTCATTAAAAGCGAGCTCTGATGATGTCGGTCGTGTTGACCGACGAAAGGCTCGCTTTTAATTAAACAGTTTTGTTTTTAGTATTATCCTGGTGTTCGGATTATTTTATGATATATATATATATATTTTGGGACACGTGCGTTTTGGGGGTCCCGAGCTGCAGGCAAGCAACGCGCCTTCCGCTTCTGTCTGCGTCGCGGCACCTTGAAAAAGAACAGGGACTACCTCTGCGGTTGAAGAATTCCCGAGAATATTTTCCAGAGAGAGCAAAGTGCCTTGGGATATTCCCGAGAAGCTCTATGATGTGTGCTATGTGGTCTAGGGAGGAGAGAAACAAAGGACATCAGGAAGGGGAGGGACAGGGAGGGGAGAGGAGAGGAGAGGAGGGGGATAAAAGAAAGACGGGAGGAAAAATGGAATTAGTTGGTAAAAACCCAAAGAAAGTTCTCAACACAGTAATGCTTGGGTGGGAAACCCAGTGGAGGGTCCGGAGGCCGGCGGAGAATTCGGATATCGTTAACGGCACTTAAAAAGGAAAGCAAAAAAAAATAAAAATAAGGGAGGCTCGTGTTAGGGCACCGCCAAGGAGATTTTCAAGCAAACAAGCGTGGGGTGTGGGCAGCTTCACCCAGGGAAATGGGACCTGCAGGGAGTCCTCAACTTACGACCGTTCGTTTACCCACAGTTCGAAGTTACAACAGCACGGAAAAAAGGGAATGACGGCCGTTATTTTCCGCAGGTATGACCGTTGCTCTGTGCTCACGCGGTCAAAATTTGGACACTTGCCAACTGACACGTGTTTATGACGGTCACGGCATCCCGGGATCACGTGATCCCCTTTGGCGACTTTTCCCAGCCAGCTTCCGACAAGCCAAGTCAATGGGGGGGAAATCAGATTCCCTGAACGACTGCAGGATTCATGATAACAACTGTGGCAAGCAAGGTCGCAAAATGAGGCAAAACTCACTTAACGACTGTCTCGTGTTGACAGCGAGGGGAATTCGTAAGTCGAGGACCCCCTGTAAATCATTTAGTAATGACCGTATTTATCCAAAGGGAAGATAAGCCTGAATTTAAGACTAATACCTTAATAATATTAATACACACACACACACACACACCTGCCAGAAGCAAGGCTCCAAAAAGGGCAGGATAAAAAGGAAAGGAAAGGAAAAGGAAAATAATATTAACTGAACCCAAACATTTTGCCTAACGTGTTTTGCAAAACCATCTGCTAAACGTTGCAAATGCTTTTTTTTCCCCAGCTTGAAACGGCTCTTTTACAGCTGTGAACGAATTTCACAGAACTTATTCCGACATTATTCTACTAAATGATGTTTAATAGAGTTTGCTTACTGGTGAGAAGGGTGGTATATAAATTTAATCATAAGGAGATGATTCAGGTTTTCCCCACCGCGTCTTCTATATTTTTTTCAGCAAATTCAAGGTGACGAACGCTACCGCCGCCCAAATTCACAGATAATCATATAGGGAGGGATATATATATATATAAAAATCTGCCTATCGGGTTAAATACGGTCAAACGTCCCAAAAACTGGGAGTTCGGCATTCGATAGCTAGTCTGCTGTCCCGAGATGCACCACACGGTGTCAGGTTTTGTATCCAAGCTGTACAATTTCAGTCTTCACACACACACACACACACACACACACACAGATGCAGGCCTTACGGGACAGGGCAAGAATCCCCTCTCAAGATTTAGGGAGGAAAAAAAAAATTATGTCTACAGAAGGGAGCGACTTACAAGTTAGTGTCGGGACTTCCAAAGAGGAGGGGAAAATGTGGTGTTCGTATTTTGACAATGAAACTGTGGTTTCGTGACGGGTCGCTTCACATTCGCTGGAGTCACAAAGGCTCAAAGCACGCCGAGGTATTTAAAAGACACCTACCTTCGTCTCTCGAATAGTCCTCGCCAGAATGCGGTTCGAACAGATAGTCTCCGGTTGCCAACTCAAAGGCCTGGGATTTAAAATAAATTAAAAAAGGATATTTTAGCGGAGGATAAGTTTTCGGTCTCGTGCAAGAGTCCCAGGCTAACAATCGTTTTGTTTAGCGACCGTTCGCAGTTACAACGTCACCGAAAAAAGCGACCTGCAGCTGTTTTTCGCCCTTATGACTATTACCGCATGCCCGGGGTCATGTGATCAAAGTTCAGATGCCTGGCAACTGACTCGTATTTATGAGGGGGGGGTGTCACGCGATCCCCTTTTGCGATCTTCTGACAAGCAAAGCCAGATTCACTTAACAATCCGTATTCCTAATTTACTAAGTTACTAATTTAACAAATGCAGTGATTCGCTTAACAACTGGGGGGCAAAACCAGTGGTGGGATGCAGCCGGTTCGCACCATTTTGTCAGAACCAGTAGCTAAATTTTGCTGAGTTCTGACAACCAGCTTAATGCACACTGCTTCCGGAAGTCCGTTCTAGGCCTCGGAGGCCTGGAGGAGGCCTTCCAGGCCTAGAACGGCCCGCCGGAAGTACGTGGATTCCACTTCCGGTAGTCCGTTCTAGGCCTCGGAGGCCTGGAGAAGGCCTTACAGGCCTAGAACGGCCCACCGGAAGTGCATGGATAACACTTCCGGAAGTCTGTTCTAGGCCTCAGAGGCCTGGAGAAAGCCTTCCAGGGCTAGGACAGCCTGCCAGAAGTGCGTGGATGCCATTTCCAGAAGTCCGTTCTAGGCCTCGGAGGCCTGAAGGAGGCCTCCCAGGCCTAGAACGGCCCACCAGAACTGCGTGGATGCCACTTCCGGAAGTCCGTTCTAGGCCTCTGAGAACCGGTTGATCAGGCATTTGAATCCCACCATGGGGCAAAACTCACTTAATAAATGTCTCAGCAACAGAAATGTTGGGCTCCATTGTGGTCGTAATTCGAGGACCATCTATAAATGTGAAGCCTTTGTTTCCAGAGTTTTAAGATGCCAGTGAAAACCATTTCTATAAAGAGCAACTGCTGGATTCCAACACGGAGACCAGGATTAGCTTTCTAAACGGGGATTTAACAGAAGCTTCCCAGAAAACCTGAACATACAACGGAGATTGCTTACGCCCGGCGCAAGTTTCAATTGCCACGGTACCATATCGATTCTGGGAGTTGAAGTCCTCGCGTCATCACAAAGAGCCAAGGTTGCCTACCTCTGATCTAGTTTCTCCTGCTTGAGCAGGGGGCTGGACTGGAAGACCTCCAAGGTCCCTCCCAGGTCTATTCTAGTCTAAAATCGGAATGGAACTACAAGATTTTCGGATTTCTCAAAGGCTGTTGGCCTTAATTGTAGGGTGGGTTATTTCTCTTAAGCTCTCCTGCAATTATCTGAAGAATAATGTGTGTGTGTGTGTGTCTGTGTGCTGGAACAGGTCTATAAATAAAGATGCATTAAGGAAAACTGTCTTGTGGCTCTCGGCCCTCCCAACGGCCAGCGAACGCCAATGAATGCACAATGCAACAATACACATGTGACGGTCGAGATAGTTACCATTGCTCTGGATCGAATCCGGAGAGAATGAATAAAAGACAAAAGCACTGAAGCACGTTCTCAGTCTAATTCTCAGCCAGCAGCCTCTAGCCAGTTCTTCCATTTCCATGGATTCCCCCCCCCCCATGAGGAACAAAGCAAAAAAAAATACAACTGCATGCAAAGCCACAATCTTGCTTTACAGGTAGTCCTCAGCTTACGACCGTAATTGGGCCCGTTGCTAAGCGAGACAGTGGGGAAGTGAATTTAGCTGGCTCAGGAATTCTGGGAGTTGAAGTCCACGAGTCGTAAAAGAGCCAAGGTTGACTACCCCTGGACTAGAAGATCTCCAAGGTGCCTCCCAACTTTGTAAAGTACCACTTTACAAAACCCTAGTAAGACCACACCTGGAATACTGCAGCCAATTTTGGTCACCATATCACAAAAAAGAGGTTGAGACCTTGGAAAAAATTCAAGAGAAGAGCAACAAAGATAATTCAAGGCCTGGAGACCAAAACGTACGAAGAACTGCTGCGGGACTTAGGTGTAGCTAGTCTAAAGAAAAGAAGAAATAGGGGTGACATGATAACAGTGTTCCAGTATCTGAGGGGCTGCCACAAAGAAGAGGGGGTCAGGTTGTTCACCGGAGCACCAAAGAGAAGACAAGAAATAATGGTTGGAAGCTGGTCAAGGAGAGAAGCAACCTGGAATTAAGGAGAAACTTCCTGACAGTGAGGACAATCAACCAGTGGAACAGCTTGTCACCAGAAGTCATGGGCGCTCCATCACTGGAGGTTTTTAAGAAGAGACTGGACAATCATCTGACTGAGATGGTATAGGGCCTCCTGCTTGAGCAGGGGCTGGACTAGAAGACCTCCAAGGTCCCTTCCAGCTCTGCTCTATTCTATTCTACAGAGTGACCTTGGACAGCAAGGGCGAATGAAGATGCTATGAATGGCATCTCTTGAGGATTCTGGCACGTCCTTGTGACTTTAAGACTGGACATTCTAGAAGATGCGTCACTTAGGGACAGCAGAACCACGGGAGAACCAAACGTACTCAGGACAGGGTCAGGATACAAAGAAGAGAATAGCAGTCTCCCAGGAATTTGAGTGTATTTGAGTATTCCAGCATTTGAGGGGTCGACACAAAGAAGGGGGTCAACTTATTCTCCAAAGCACCAGAGGGCAGGAGAAGAAACAACGGATGGAAACTGATCAAGGAGAGAACCAACCTGGAACTAAGGAGAAAGCTCCTAACAGTGAGGAGAATTATCCGGTGGAACAGCTTGCCACCAGAAGTTGTGGGTGCTTCATTGCTGGAGGTATTTAAGGAGAGACTGGACAGACACTCGTCCGAAATGGGTATAGGGTCTTCTGCTTGACTAGGGAGTTGGACTGGAAGACCTCCAAAGTCCCTTCCGGCAATATTCTGATTGATTTATTAAAACTGATGGAAGGGCTGCCTCAACATCCAACGAAGTCTGCAGTCATCGGACAGACGAGATACGGCTCCTTGGACAACATCCCAAAGATGGACTTTTTTGGGGGGTATTTTTTGAAGACGTTTCGCTTCTCATCCCAGAAGCTTCTTCAGCTCGGACTGGATGGTGGGGAATGGAAAGATTTATACTCCTCGCAGAGAGCTGGTCGTTTGCCTTCTTTTAGAGAGTCGTTGAAGCTACCCGGAGGCTTATCTGTGTCTCCGGGGTCACCTGAGTGGTGCAAATGGGCGTGGAGCCTTCTTGGGATAACTATGACCCGGACGACTGAGAATCTGCATAGACACTGGACAACCTATTGTCTTCTCCACCATATGAGCCACCAGGAAGAGTCCAGAACAGATTCCACTGTCGCAGGGTAAGTTTGTTCTGCTGCCAATTTCGAGGCACGCCTGACATCTTGAGGGAGACGTTTGGAGTTTCCTTCTGGGACAAATGTCTATGATTCTGTTGAGTGGGAGCTAGGTGTGAACCGGAAGCTTCAGAGGAGGCTCGCTCTCCTCTGGCGATGACAATGTTCTTCCACGAAAGTGGTGGTTATAACAACACGGAGTTATTATAACGATCCTGAGTTCAGCGGAGAATTCCTACAGGCTGTAACTTCTGAGCTCAGCCAGGGCTATCGTTAGTATTTCTGTAGTAAACCAGGTGACACCCCCCCCCGAGCCGTTAGGTCACCATGTCAGAGGTACAGGTAGCCCCCGACGTACGACCACAATTGAGCCCCAAATTTACGTCGCTCAGCGAAACGCGTTGGGTTCGGTGACTTTTTGCCCCGTTTTACGACTTTTCTGGCCACGGTTGCTAAGGGAATCCCTGCCGCTGTTAGCTTAGTAACCCGGTTGTTAAGTGAGCCTGACTTCCCCCGTTCGCTCTGCGTGTCGGACGGTCGCAAAAGGGGTAATCGTCTGACCCCGGGACGCTGCAACCATCCTAAAGAGGACTCAGTTGCCCAGCGTCCGAATTTTTTTTTTAACAATATTTTATTGAGTTTATATAGATAAGGGAAAATTAGGAACAATATGGGTATGGTAAGGGAGGGGGAGGGGGGAAGGAAATAGGGGATTTAGGATAAAATAAGGAAAGGTACAATCACATATTTTAACAAACAAGCAACTGTCCGGATCATAATAATGAGTGAATATCTTAAAATAATAACTATATTATTATAGTTATAATAACTATATTATAATAACTATATATAATAACTATAGCCATATTACAAACAGTTAATAAACAAATAAATTCATCTATTAAATAAAAACGAATAATAAAATCTCAGAAAATCCTAACTATCAACATTAATAGATAAAAATCACTAAATCACTAAAAATAACAATGTCATCTACCTATTAATTAGAACTTGGTTAGAAATCAATCGTCTATTCTGAGATGTTAGATCCTTTTCAAATTCTAACGTGTCTCTAACCATTGATAAAATTTATCCCAAGTTATAAAATAAACTGAATCATCTTTTTCTTTCATCTCCAATGTTAATCTATCCATTTCTGCACACTCTAAGATTTTAGTAATTATAGTCAGATGGTAGATTCTCATTTTTCCAATATTGGGCAAATACTATCTTCGCGGCTGTTAAAACATGCAGTATCAGATAATCATTCTCTTTACCATAATTAGGTCTTAATATTCCTAACAAAAACAATTCTGGTTTATATTCTATCTGTATTTTCATCATCTTTTCCAGCTATCTATGAATCTTAGACCAGCATTTCTTAGCATTGGGGCATATCCACTAGACATGGTAGTTAAGTGCCTGGTTGTTGCTTCCCAGCGTCCGAATTTCGATCCCGTGACCGTGGGGGGAGGCTGCAAAGGTGGTAAGTGTAAAAAGGGGTCCTAAGTCGCTTTTCCCGGCGCTGTTCTAACTTTGAATGGTCGCTAAACGAACTGTTGTTAAGCTGAGGACTGCCTGTGCGTCCTTATCAGATTTGTCAACTACGGCAAAACTTCTGATCTCTTTGCTTCGCTGGAAATATTCTTTTTAAAAGTCAGGGAGATATACAGAGGCGTATCTGCCTTGGAAAGAGCCCCTGTTGTATAACACAGCCAAGCAAGGAATGTCACATCCAAGATGAATCTATCCAAATAGAAGAGACCGGTGTAGGCAGCGCAGTTTCCCGGGCATTTGTAACCTTAGAGACTATTCCCAAAGATCACCGCAGGAGAAATATATCGTTACGGCATGTCTTCTCTGTAAAAACTTGACGTTGCTTATGGAAAGCCACCACGTATTTCTCCCTGGGACCTAAATGGCAGGGGCTTTAAATGACAGACCCTCAGGATCAGCCATAATCAAGAGACTGCGTCAGTGAAGGCATTAACGCAGGATTAGACTGATTAAATCACACGGAGGAATCACACCAGAAATTGCAATGCCCAGCTATAACTGCTTCAGCTACTGCCATTTCAAATCACCTATAGCTACTAAGATAAGATAAGATGAGATGAGATGAGATGAGATGAGATGAGATGAACGTAAGGTAAGGTAAGGTGATAAGATAGATAAGATAAGATAAGATAAGATAAGATAAGATAAGATAAGATAAGATAAGATAAGATAAGATAAGATAAGATAAGATAAGATAAGATGATAAGATATAAGATGAAGGTAAGGTAAGATGATAAGATAAGATATAAGATGAAGATAAGGTAAGGCAAGATAAGATAAGATAAGATAAGATGAGATGAGATGAGATGAGATGAGATGAGATGATAAGATAAGATAAGATAAGATAAGATAAGATAAGATAAGATAAGATAAGATAAGATAAGATGATAAGATAAGATAAGATAAGATATAAGATAAGATAAGATATAAGATAAGATATAAGATGAAGATAAGGTAAGGTAAGATAAGATGATAAGATAGATAAGGTAAGGTAAGGTAAGATATAAGATGAAGATAAGGTAAGGTAAGGTAAGGTAAGATATAAGATGAAGATATAAGATAAAGATAAGGTAAGGTAAGGTAAGGTAAGATATAAGAAGAAGATATAAGATAAAGGTAAGGTAAGGTAAGGTAAGGTAAGGTGATGATAAGATAAGATGATAAGATGAGATGAGATGAGATAAGATAAGATGATAAGATAAGATAAGATGGGATAAGATGGGAGATAAGAGATAAGATGGAGACAAACCAAAGAGAGAAGCAACCTGGAACTAAGGAGAAATTTCCTGACAGAACAATTAACCAGTGGAACAACCTGACTCCAGATGTGGTGAATGCTCCAACACTGGAAGTTTTTAAGAAGACACCAGACAGCCATTTGAGCAGAGGGTTGGACTAGATGACCTCCAAGGTCCCTTCCAACTTTATTATTATTATTATTATTATTATTATTATTATATTATTATTATTATTATTATTATTATTATTATTATTATTATTTACTACTACTACTACTACTACTACTACTACTATTATTATTATTATTATTATTATTATTATTATTATTAATCATCGCACAGTCAGCCAGATGTTCAGACTGGATTTGGCATTTTTGTCTACCTATCGAGTCATCATCATCATCATCATCATTATTATTATTGACATAAGATATAAGATAACCTTTATCGTCATTTTTTACTGTGGGCACACTGGCACACATTAAAAATGACGTTCTGTTGCCTGCTCTCAAAAGTGTACACGTACACAACACACATGTAAACATGCTATATACAACACATGTATGTACCTACACCCTTATAAATACACATACATATTAATCACTGTCCATCTTGAATACATAGCGGAAAGAGGGAGCGTTAGAGAGTTCACAAGGTTGATACTGTATGGAACAAAACTGCGACCGAATCTGGATGTTCTGCTTCAGGGGCCACGGAGCCCCCTCCTCCCACCCCAGAAGGGAACAAGGAAAACAGGTCGCGGAGAGGATGTGTAGCATCCCAGACAATCTTGCAGACCCTGCTCAAGCAACACTTACAGTATATGCCAGGGAGTGGATAGAAGGAAGGGACCGGGCAATAATCTTTTCTGCTGTCCTCACCACTCTCTGCATTGCCTTCCTGTCTGAAGCAGGGATGCTTCCAAACCAGACTTTGCCCAGAAATCGTAATAATATCCCCGGAAGGGAACAAGGAAAAAAGGTTGTGGAGAGGATGTGTAGCATCCCAGACAATCTTGCAGACCCTGCTCAAGCAACACTTACATGGCAGGGAGTGGATAGAAGGGAGAGACCTGCCAATAATCTTTTCTGCTGTCCTCACCACTCTCTGCATTGCCCTCCTGTCTGAAGTAGGCATGCTTCCAAACCAGACTTTGCCCAGAAACCGTAATAATATTACTGTTGTTTCTGATTCAACGGCAAGAAAACAAGAAAACGTGGTTCTTACCATACATGCTGTACTCCAGATATCAGCGGGTGTACTGTAACCTGCTCCTATTAAAACTTCAATCGATCTATACTGTCGGGTCTGGATATCTTCCGTAAAGTGTTTATGCTAAAAAACAAAACAAAACAGAAAAGACAGGCTTTTCATTACAAAACGCTCCAATTTCAGCTACGAGACTAAACCGCAAAAGTTGTAGACAATTTTTAACTACACTTACCACCCAGCAGGCATTCCCCAGATCGGCAATTTTAACTCTAATTTTATCGGCGTTCCTCGGATCCAAAGGATTCACCAGCAAATCAGCAGCCCGAGTTTTCACTATTAGGCAGGAAGAAATACAGAGTTAATATTCGGAGCGCGTAATCCAATATTCTTTTAAAGACACGACAGTGGGGGTAGAGCAAAAACAGCCGATGTCTTCGCCATCTTTAAAAAAAAAGAATTCAAAATACGCAGAATTATTTTTGTTTTTTTTAAAGGGACACACCAATTATTAGCCTAACGTGGTGTAAATTACGATATCGAACACAATTTTTGAACGAGGCGAGCAACCTAAATAATTGTCGGGAAAAAAACCCCTATGTAATAGAAGCTGAAGAAGCTTCTTAGATGAGAAGCGAAACATTTTCAAAGAAAAACAAGAAAGTTCCCGTTGCCTCCTTGGGCTCTCTCTCCAGAACAAACCACACACAGCAAAGCAAAAAAATTTATTATTATTATTCTGTTTAAAATACAATATATGCATACATTCAGAAGGGTTGCAAATGGGGATTGTAGGACCGCCGGGACCCCGCAACTGAGATAAACTGCATCCAGTTTTGGTCACCATGATGTAAAAAAGATGTTGAGACTCTAGAAAGAGTGCAGAGAAGAGCAACAAAGATGATTAAGGGACTGAAGGCTAAAACATATAAGGAACGGCTGCTGGAATTGGGGATGCCTAGTTTAATGAAAAGAAGGACGAGGGGGGACATGATAGCAGTCTTCCAATATCTCAGGGGCTGCCCCAAAGAAGAGGGAGTCAAGCTATTTTCCAAAGCATCTGAAGGCAGGACAAGAAGTAACAGATGGAAACTAGTCAAGGAGAGAAGCAACCTAGAGCTAAGGAGAAACTTCCTGACAGTGAGAAGAATTAACCAGTGGAACAACCTGCCTCCAGAAGCGGTGAATGCTCCAACACTGGAAGTTTTTAAGAAGAGACTGGACAGCCATTTGTCTGAAATGGTATAGGGTTTCCTGCCTGAGCAGGGGGTTGGACTAGATGACCTCCAAGGTCCCTTCCAACATCATCATCATCATTAAAAATACATGCCAGCTGACAAGCGCTCAAACTTTGATCACGTGAAGGTAGCGGGAGGCGGCGTGTTGCTGCAAAGGTTGTAAATGTGAAAAATGGACACAGCTCGCTTTTTCTTCCAATGCCTTTGTAACTTGAAATGGTCCCTAAACGAATAGTAAGTCAAGGATTAACTGTATTGCTTCTGCTACCGTCATTATCGTCATCTATCTACTCAGGGGTGGGATTCAAATATGCGAACAACCGGTTCTCTGCGTGGATGCCGCTTCCGGAAGTCCGTTCTGGGCTACCGATTCTGCCGAACTGGTGCAAACTGGCTGAATCCCACCGCTGTCTACTTGGCCATTGGCGGTCCTTTCTAGGCCAAATTGGGGGAGGACCTCACAACACAGCTTCATACTTAGCAAACAACTTGATCAGACCAGAGGTCCCCAATCTTTTGGGCACCAGGGACCGGTT